GTAGTTGTTGACGGGAGCCACTTTGTTGGCCTCCTGCGGCACCATGATCGCTCAGGTTCCGTCCTTTTTGACATCGGTGCCTTCGCCTTAGAGTAGTAGTCGAATATGCGCCGACGAATTTTTACGCGCAATTACCGCAAGTAATTTTACATGCCGCCGACGTCGCATGTGTCATTTCCATTGGCTGTTAAGTGCATGACACTCATTATACTGGTGCATCATGTTCTTAACATGTTTTGAATGATAGGATATGTTGCACTCTCTTATAAGAAAGGAAAAATGTCACATTAGTCATCAGCCATCAGCTGATTACATCGCCCAGCCGGCTAGCCGCAAATACATAAGCTGGGAACCAAGTCCATGCTTGGTTTTGATGGTTGTTAGCAGCCAACTCAAGCTTGTTCTGCCTTTTGTTCCGAGACGCTTAGCCTCAAAATCACAGCATTTAACATGATCTGCAGAAAATGAGTGAGCTCTATGTGTATGCAAGCACAGCACGCCTAGCCTTTAGGGCTGTGCACAGTAAGATGGGTTTCCACATTTATTAAATAAATGAATAAGTAAAGAGATGTATATATATATATATATATATATATATATATATATATATATCTCTCTCTCTCTCTCTCTCTCTCTCTCTCTCTCTCTCTCTCTCTCTCTCTCTACATACATACGCACATCTATATATATATATATATATATATATATATATATATATATATATATATATATAGCATACGACTTGTGTTAAAATGTAATGACCGAGATGCAACAATATTTTTTGTAGCGGGCCCAAACTCCAGGGGGCCCCACAATGATGCGCACCTCCCCTCACGAAATCCTGGATCCGTCCCTGGTAGACAGACAGTAACGGTAAATTGCAGTCACCAAACTGCAACTTGATGTCAACCTGTGTGTGTTCCTTAGAAATTCGTTACATGTGCGAGGATCCGACTTCGCTAGATCGTTGGTGCATTTCAATACAGAATAGGTGCACCAAGAACGTTTCGCTAGAGATATGTGTTTGGTAGAAACGAAGGCTGCGATAAAAAATTCACTGAGCGCAGGCACTGCAGGAGTCCAATCCGGGAAGGGGCTGCTGCGACCTGCACGCCGCACCAACAGCGCCTAACACAAATCCGTGAATAAAACCCGCGCGACACGCGAACGATGGGCGCGGCTCGTGCAGCGAGGCCCGACGCCCGGGTTCATGATTACGAGGTCGACAGTGCCTGAACTGCGCCATCAAGACCGGTCTGCCAGCCCAGCGGGGATGGGGACCGGCCGCCGGCCGCGTGGCCGGACGCCACGCCGTGCTGCGTTTGGCAATGCGGCGGATGTGCAGTACCCACACGGCACGAGCCACAGCGTGACGGGCACGCCGTGCTGCATTTGGCAATGCGGCGGATGTGCTGTACCCACACGGCACCAGCGGTAGACCCACAGCGTGACGGGCACGCCATGCGCGTCATGAACCATTACGACCGGCTGCGGGGCCGGCTCACTGGAAAAGGAAAGCTAATATCGGTTCACATTGACGAGAAGGGTACCCTTTAGCACAAATCACTCGCAAACAGAAGTACTGGGCGCGGCAGTGTGATGTTTCATTTTTCCTTCGACGGATATACTCGGTATCGCAGGACAATCCCCCGCTCTAGCAGAGCGGCAGAGTAGTTGCGTCTGGCCTATGCCGGCCGATGATTTAACGGTTACACATTCCACGAGTGCCTCAAAGGGGTGTCCCAAATTTTGGGTATGTTTCAAAAGTATACTCTTGTGAAAGCTCAGGATCACTTAACACGCGCACGGGAAGGGGGTCAATCTTAATTGACCCCCCAAGGTTTTTCCGGAATGAGTTCTGAACGACGCGGCGCAGCCGTGCCAAATTTTGCAGAGTTATATATAACTTAAAGCGGATCGTCTGACATCAAAAATGAGATGTACCTTGCAAGGTCACTGACCTATGGCAGGTCAAAGTCAGGTCATGGTTTTAGCAAAGGTAATTTCTGGGGCATTGTTCAATCCAATGCAACAACGGAGTGTTTGACGAAGCCATGCATCTCTGAGATGCTTTAATAGGCACCACAAATATTGAATGATTGAATTAAGTTGACCTACGGTCAGGTATGAAGGTCAGACCAAAGTCAAAACTAACCTGATTATCACTCTTGAGCTTGCTGTATGGGATAGATTTTGGTGCTTATTTTCTTGTTTGGATTCTTGTGACCTTTTGCTTAGAAACAGTTGCCTAGGTTCTGGAGGCACTTTGGAGACCAACCTGAAATTGGACTTTGTTTGACCTTATTTAACCTGAAAGTCCTGATCTAGGAAGCTCAAACTTTGACCTAAGTGATTTTACGTACAGATCAAGACACCCTGTAAATTTGGTGTCTCTAGCTTTCTCAGTTCCCGAGATCTCAGTGGAGGGGTGTGGGGGTCAAACTGACCCCCTCCCCCCACCCGAGCGAAGGGTATCTAGCCGGCCACCCGGGCGCGTGTTAAGTCTTAATATCCCTGAGTCACGCCACCACAGCATCGTCGAGACATAATAAGGATATCAATCTTAATTTTTCGAGTCCAAATTACGCTGCCAACGCTTTGTAACAGTATTGCAGTTCCTCTCTGCAGTTGCTGCAATTGCCGCCGTCATAACCACCACCGTGATATCTAAAATGGTGCGAATGAAATGTTTGTGATCGGCCCAGCGGGCGCAAGGACCTCTCTCAATACGCGCATTGGCTGAAGTTTGAACCAGTGCGTAACTATGGGCCATGCGGTGCTCTAAAGCGAAAGTTCGCCTCGAAAAGAGCTACTGTGGCAAACGCCACAGGGAAGAGATCAAAGCCATAGTATAACGCTTCGTTGAATTCGTAGGATTAAAAACTTCGTGTTCGGACATATTTTTGTCCAAACAGTGTTTTGAGCTCTCCTAGCATTTATTACGCAAGCGTTTTGACAAATTAGTGCGATGCAAACATCACAGAAAACACACGTTGGAAAACACAAGGCAAATATAATGCATCAATTTGAAAGTAGTGGGAGGGGTGTCCCACAAAATTTGTCCCGTAGGAGCAGCCACTTCGAATTTATATTCTGAGCCTTTCAGAAGCACTTCGAGAAAACTGGCATTACAGACCAAATCGTGCACGTCTGATCTGACAATGAGTGAAAAGTACAAAAATGCGGTATCCTCCCTCGCCAGCATTGTCACGCGTCACAGGGGACGGCATGCTCCCCCCCCCCCAGCATCGTCACACGTCACAGGGGACGGCATGCTCCCCTCCCCAGCATCGTCACACGTCACAGGGGACGGCATGTTCCCCTCCCCAGCATCGTCACACGTCACAGGGGACGGCATGCTCCCCTCCCCAGCATCGTCACACGTCACAGGGGACGGCATGCTCCCCTCCCCAGCATCGTCACACGTCACAGGGGACGGCATGCTCCCCTCCCCAGCATCGTCACACGTCACGGGGGACGCCATGCTCCCCTCCCCAGCATCGTCACACGTCACAGGGGACGGCATCCTCCCCTCCCCAGCATCGTCACACGTCACAGGGGACGGCATCCTCCCCTCCCCAGCATCGTCATACGTCACAGGGGACGGCATGCTCCCCCCCCAGCATCGTCACACGTCACAGGGGACGGCATGCTCCCCTCCCCAGCATCGTCACACGTCACGGGGGACGGTATGCTCCCCTCCCCAGCATCGTCACACGTCACGGGGGACGGCATCCTCCCCTCCCCAGCATCGTCGCACGTCACAGGGAGATAACCTGAGCTAGTTGGGACTGAAATGAAATGCGTGACAAGAGCGCAGCGCGAGGTCCTGGCGCTTACTTAATGCATGATTAAGTATGCGGTCTTCTTTGCTTGGTGCGTCCGTCCGGGCGGGACGACGTCGATTGCTGCCCCCCCCCCCCCCCCCTGCGCGCCCAAGCACGGCGATCGCTGACGCGCAAAAGCGGGGCTTCCCGCCCCCTTTGCGGCGTAGCGGGCATCGTCAGCATGGCGGCGTGGCGAGCGTCGTCAACATGGTGGGACCATTTGTAGAAAGTAAAATCCGTCGCCGCCTTCGTGGCTTTGAAATTCTGTCTCTCAATTCGGTACCATACATTGTTCGCAAACAAGTGATCTGCTTGGAAATCATAATCATCCTCACCGGCCGCAGCCTCATTGGCCGTTGTTACACGAGAGGCAGCAGGCTGGGCGAGCCATGACGCCGACTGAACATGCCTCTGGCGGCTCCAGCGACACCGCCCTGCTAGTCAGACCTGTTGACTGACCTTTGACCTTCGCGACCCCTGGCCGCACGGCCGTGACGCTTTCAGTGACGGGTGGGGCAGTTCTCTGAAAGCTGTCCTGTGTGACCTTTACGGGTGCTACGACGCTTAAATGCAGACTGATCATACAGCGTGATGCCGCGCTATTGCAACATCATCACTATTTCATCTCATTCAACCAGCATGAAAAACATTAAAAGCATCGCCAGTCAAACAGCTGAAGACCTGCTGCGCGCGATAAAGAAAGATATATAATGGTTTCACGTTTCCCAGCACGGAAGTGGAAAAGACCTTGAGAAGAGGAAAAGAAAAGCTCAGCGTTCCGCCTGAAAACCCAAAAACCTGTTTCCGCCCGGGCTCGAACCGGGGACCTTCCGCGTGTGAAGCGGACGTGATAACCACTACACTACGGAAACGCTGCTGCGGCGACGCCCGACTCTGCCGGACAGTTGGTCGGGGAGCCCCGGGCTGCAGCGTAACGTCGGCAGACAGCTGGTCCACTGGCAGACAGATGCCCACCGCACTCCTTCAACCGTCAGGCACCGGACTGAGCGAAACGATCCTGATATTGCCTCTCCTCTCCGAAGTGGCTCACGTGACCTGGCGTTCACTCCGGCGGACCCGAACTGTGCCCAGACTGACTGTGACAGGTGCAGCCTGACCTCACCACACCTAGTCTGACCCGATGACCCCGACCGCCCCTGACCCGATCCTGACCTCTCGGGTGAGCGTCGACACGCTGGAGGTCAGCGGGAAGTGGCTGACCAGCACGTTGATGCCGTCGGTCAGCGGCGGGGCCGAGTGGTTCGAGGACGGCGGGATCGTCCAGACCTGAAGCGCATGCCGCAGCAGCCGTCGAAGTTCATCGACGGGTTATCAGCCATACAAAGTGAGCCAGCATGGACATAGATCGGCAAAGTGCCTGGCATAATCGATTCAAAGTAGCGGAGGTCAGGACGTATGATGGGTGGGTGCAAACGACCATGTTCACATCACACTTCAAGGTTGAAGCCGGCTGCTGCAAATTACTGAAAGTAAGCGAATATGCCTGGGGGAGGGGGGCATGGACGCCGCCACTGTTGCCTGGGAGGGACATGGATGCCACCACTGTTGACTGCAGTGTAACACGGCAGCGAGCAGACACACTGGTGCGCGCATAACAAACACTCGGTGATGAAACGGCAGGCGAACCCGTTTGACACAGGAAGCATCATGTGTTGAAGCGTAACGTGTCACCAGCGCTCAGGCACGTGTCGGATCACCACACGTGCCTCAGCATCACGTCTGCTGGCCATTTTCCTCCAAGCGCACACGCACACACCTTGTAAAACTGGACGAAATCGACGATGGTCGAAGTCTTGGCACCGAAGACACTCTTAAAGGCCTGCACCTTGTCCGGCTTCACGGGCTCTCTACCTTCGCCACCGATGTCGTTGTCACCAGGAACCGCCACCATCTGCCGGCAGAAATGGAAACTGTGGTGTCTACCTCCGCCGCAGAAAGGCGTTAGTTTTCCAGCCGAGAGTTCCCCCGTTTCCTGGAGCCAAAAGCGAACTACCAGACGTGAAGTGCTGGCTAGCCATCAATACTCGAAGCGTTCGTCAATCGATTCCGCTAGCTCCATGTCCCATGTCACGGGACTTCCGAACACTCGCGACTGCATGTTCTCGTCGCACTCCCCAGGTAGCACGGGGCGCGCAGACCCGACGTCCAACATGGTCACCACATCACAGCGCCGGCTCATCCGCCCTCAGCTCTCAACTCACGGCTTCATACTAGATCCTTGTGCAGCCCCACCTCGCTGGGAGCTACGCCTGTCAGCCAAGAGTCGGCCTCGCAGTCACCCTGGCCAGGAGCCCCCCCCCCCCCTTTTCTCCCTCCCTCCCGGGACCCCTCCACACCCTCCGACGCAGGGTCTGTGTGTCCGGCACGTCCAACAGGCAGCGATTCCCGGGCTAACCACGGGACCCGGCTCCCACCGATCTTGCCACAAACCTCTCTCCCTCCGACATGGTCAACCATGGTCAGAGGAGCTGCAAGAGACCCAAACGAACCCTAACCAGGATTCATGTGCCAAACCAAACACCAGCCAGTGCCATCAGTATTAGAATGATCATCACCACACCACAATCTGGTTGCCACAATCTTTCTCGCCCGACGCCACCGGCGACCTCCCACCTCACCTTGGTGTTCCTGGGGAAGCCGAAGATGGACCAGAAGCGCCTGATGTAGCCGGCGTACTGTTCGGGCGAGGCCACGCTGCCCTCGTCCAGCACGTCACCGAGGAACACCACGGCGTCTGGCATCACGTGCTGGAAGGCGCGGCCGAACCCCTGACGCATGTACCTGGCAGACGAACGGGCGTGACGTGACGGCAGTCACGTATGATATCACCCGCGACGCACGTCTGAATGAGAGGAAGCGGTACGCCTCAAGCGATGCGAATAGCATCAAACATGGGATGATACACGAGCCGACAATGTCTGTGTGGACACGCCGAATGACGTCAGCAAGGGGAGCGCGACACCTCCAGGTCTGTGGGCAGGTGGCGTGGACAAGCCCCGACCCCAAGCGGCGCACTGCCTCACAGGACCACAGGACACATGATGTCATGCGGTTCTGAAAAGCCCCATCCCCGGTAACAGCCCGGCCCGGCCGACATCGCACCCTCCGTTCCACACACAGCCCCCTTCCACACCGCAGTCCCACCCCACTCGTACTCGACACCAGCGGAGCTGCCTCCGTCCCCGCCCCGCTCTGGTCGGCCCACGTGTCCCGAGTCCCAGCGCGTGAGGGCGCCCAGCGGCCCGGCCGGCTCAGTGAGCTCGCCCTGCAGCGGGGGGTCCCCACCTGTCTGAGTCCCAGCGCGTGAGGGCGCCCAGCGGCCCGGCCGGCTCAGTGAGCTCGCCCTGCAGCGGGTGGTCCCCACCTGTCTGAGTCCCAGCGCGTAAGGGTGCCCAGCGGCCAGGCCGGCTCGGTGAGTTCGCCCTGCAGCTGGGGGTCGGCCACCAGCAGGAGGCGCAGGCTGCCGTGTTCCGCCTCGCCGGGCAGCGTCGGCCAGGCGCGCGCGTGCTGCGCCAAGTCCCACCACTCGGCGTACAGCACCACCGTCAGCACGGCCAGCAGCAGGATGTGGCGCGGGCTGATCACAGGCCTGCCGTCGACGTCACCACATCAGCAGCGGGAAACAGCACCGGTCAGCCCGCTCAAGGTCAGGTCAGCAGGGTCATGTCGGGATCAGTAGGGTCGTGACGGGGTCATCAGGGTCGTGACGGGACAAGCAGGGTCGTGATGGGACCAGCAGGGACAGCAGAACGGTGAGCATGGGGCATGCTGGCGGGGTTTCCAGGTTACCCACTACAATCACCATTGGTGATCATGTATTTCACACCGCATGGGGCGCCAAGAATTGGCAGTGTTGATGCAATAGGCATTGATAGTTGATGCAACAGGCTGGCCTGCCAGCACACCACAAGGCGTGGAGGGGTGGACGGCCCCGACTGATGGTCAGACGGGTAGCTCAGGACGGGCTGCCCCGCCAGCACACCACAGGGCGTGGAGGAGTGGACGGCCCCGACTGATGGTCAGTGGGGTAGCTCAGGACGGCCTGCCCTGCCAGCACACCATACGGCGTAGAGGGGTGGACGGCCCTGACTGACGGTCAGCAGGGTAGCTCAGGACGGCCTGCCCTGCCAGCACACCACAAGGCGTGGAGGGGTGGACGGCCCCCGACTGATGGTCAGAGGGGTAGCTCAGGACGGGCTGCCCTGCCAGCACACCACAAGGCGTGGAGGGGTGGACGGCCCTGACTGACGGTCAGAGGGGATGCTCGGGACGGGCTGGCCTGCCAGCATACCACAAAAGTTAACCGGGTCAAGATGGCATGATGGCATGTCCTGGGAGGGGAACGGTCAGCCGACACACGCTAAGTCGGCGGCAAACGATGTGTCCCGGAGCACACCGGAGGCTTCAGTGGCACACTCCTGCCATTTGTCATGGAGAAAAGCCACGCTTCTCGGGAACGCAAAGTGGATCTAGAGCTATAGCAGCGCTACAAAACGCAAACAAAGAAAAATTGTATATCAGCAGTACGCTCAAGCCACACCAGGCCACCCCGTCATCTTCTGACCACACATGGCAAGAGGGAGCGAACGGCCGTCCACCGTACCTGATCACCCTCGGCTGCATCTGGTAGCCGTCCCGGAAGAAGCACGGCATGGCGGCACCCTTCGCCGGCTCGTCAGTCAGCAGTCAGCTGCCAGATCGGCCGCCTTCGAAGGCGCTCAGTTTGCAGTCAGCGACCACATTGGAAGCACTCTCCAGTGGGCTGGAGTTCCCACCAGCGGTCTCGTGACTTTTGTCGGGTGGTGGCAGTCGCACGCACCGAATTCTTCCTGAAACACGATATCGTACTATATATACCTCAAGGCTTGGGACGTACGGCCACAGCCTTGCACGGGTTCGCCAACACAATCACCCCAAATCATCAGCAATAACAGAGTACAAGACGTTGTGTTGTTGTACATGTAAAAAACATGACAAGCTTAGTTATACAAGATAATGATTTCCATCAACTTCAACGCTTGCTGCCTGCTGCACGGTTTGCATTTAATCCACTGCAAATCGACGTTCATAAATCAGACTCAGTTACCAAACGGATCGCCCCCAATGCCTCCATCTCAAACAATTGATGACAGAACGGTGACTGGCATTTTCAAAACAAGCTGGAAAATAAGGACACTGACCAAAACACCTGGTATATACACATATTTTGATAAATGAAGGTTCAAAATCCTGCAGCAACACAACTGGGCATGTAAAGCCAAATCATAAGATGCCTCCAAGGTCGACCAATTTTCTCATCATACAGGAGGTGAGTCTGTACACATACAACAGGTGAGCCAAGAACCATACTGCCACGAGAGTAACCTCCGCAGTCCAAAACAGGAGTCATGCAGTGAGTTCCGATACGTCACCGTTCTCACTATCAAGGATCACCATCGGCTGTGACTGGACGCACACCGCACTCAGCACAACCTGCGTACTTAGCCGCAAGGCACAGAAAGGCTGCCAACCTAGAATGGCACGCGTCAGCCCGGCTCCGCCGTCATACAGTCCCACTCCCAGCCAGCATTCAACCAAGGGACAAACACCTGAACCCGGCCTCCGCCGTCAGTGCAGTCTCACTCCCAGCCAGCATCAAACCGAGGGACAAGCACCTGAACCCGGTCTCCGCAGCCTCGGGCTGTCACGTGATCGGGTTCGACCTGCCGCGTGCCAGTGATTAGCGTGACGTGCTCAGCAGTCGGCGCCCCGGAACGCGCCCGATCACAGAGCCTGGAGTCGCTCCCATCTGATCACAGAGCCCGGAAGCCCCTCTCGTCTGATCATAGAGCCCGGAGCCGCGCCCATCTGATCACAGAGTCCAGAGCCGCTCTCGTCTGATCACAGAGTCCGGAGCCGCTCTCGTCTGACCACAGAGTCCGGAGCCGCTCTCGCCTGATCACAGAGTCCGGAGCCGCTCTCGTCTGATCACAGAGCCCGGACGCCCCTCTCGTCTGATCACAGAGTCCGGAGCCGCTCTCGTCTGATCACAGAGCCCGGACGCCCCTCTCGTCTGACCACAGAGCCCGGAGCCGCTCTCGTCTGATCACAGAGCCCGGAGCCGCTCTCGTCTGATCACAGAGCCCGGAAGCCCCTCTCGTCTGATCACGGAGCCCGGAGCCTCTCTCATCTGATCACAGAGCCCCGAAGCCCCTCTCGTCTGATCACAGAGCCCGGAGCTGCACTCGTCTGATCACAGAGCCTGGAGTCGCTCTCATCTGATCACAGAGCCCGGACGCCCCTCTCGTCTGATCACGGAGCCCGGAGCCCCCTCATCTAATCACAGAGCCCAGGAGCCCCTCTCGTCTGATCACAGAGCCTGGAGCTGCCTGCACTTGTCTGATTTCGTCGGGCGCGCGACTGATGTCAGACCGGGCGACCAAGTGGCGTTACGCGGAGCAGCCTCAAACGAGCGACCCGGCACCCAGCGGCGCACGTCCGGACCGCCGGGCGCGCGCACCGGCCGTGCGACACCAGCTGCGGGACGGCGCCGCCGCCGTGAGCCAGGCCGGCACACGGCCGCCGTCTGGTGCGAGTGGTTGTGGGTGGGGCATAGGTGAGCCACCCACCTCCCCCAGGAGCAGTCAAGGCTTCTCCAGGAGCAGCCCAGGCTCCCCTGGGAGCAGCTCAGGCTCCCTGGAAGTGGCTGAGGCTCCACTGGGAGTGGTCAAGGCTCCCTGGGAGCAGCTCATGCTCCCTGGAAGTGGCTGAGGCTCCACTGGGAGTAGCCAAAACAGCTGGGCAGTGAGAAGCAAGCCACAGGTGATTAGGTACCTATGGCATCAGACACAGACCACCCTGGAGATGAATACCTGCACAGACCGCAGTCTACCAACAAATGGCCAGTGGGCTCCACATTATGGCTGGGCATGCCACATCAGCTGGCACATCTACACATATTTCCGAGGGAGCCAGCTTCCGTTGAATTCTTTGAGCATCATAGAGAAGATGAGAATTTCAGAGAATGAAAAAGCAAGTGCATCTATCACTTTGCCTGCTCTATGTCACAAACAGCTTCTCACTGATATTCTAAGATGCATGATACTTACAAACTAATTGTTGAGTTATTAGTAACACATTGCAACTTGCAAGTATTTAGGGCCAGTACAAACAGATCAGCTGCATCAGGCCTCAAATGGAGGTCCCACTTGTGTTCAGGAAGGGCACATCTAGATTGCTTCCCAAAGCACCACATAAGCAGTTTCTCACAAGCTGGGCTGCAAAACTCACACCTTTTATGATATGCCTAACATGGGCAGTGCAACAGCAGCATCACAGTAGGTTAGCAGCCATTTCAGTGCATATCCACCATAAACCTAAAGACCCAGAAGCTTTTTACAGTCTAAGGATGTTAAGTTGTCAACTTCAATGTGTAGAGATTAAAGGACAGTGTTAAAGGGAATTGTAGTAAGATAAATGCAACCTTAGAGACGCTACTCTGACAAAATTTCCACAAAAAATCATTCTCGTGACCTCATTCTGACCTGTTCAGAATTTGACTCACGCGAGAGCGAGGTTCACCGCACTGATGCCGTGTGGGAGTCCGGTGGAATGGATTATTCTTCGGGCCAAATCGCAAGCATAGGGGATCTCGAATATTTAATACATAGCAGCAATACCTCACGTTTTGAATCCTGTTCAACTAATGTATTGCGTTATGCGACTTGGGGTCTGCGCCCCCCCCGTTACGGCTTTAGCGATGCGGGGCGCGCATCCATTTTCATGCTCACGAATATTCAGAGCGCGCCAGACAACGTATCTTGTGCGCCGGAAAACATATCCAGTTGTGACACCAAACTCAGGGGAACCTCTGGCAGAGCGAAGTTAAGTTTAGACCACAGGTACTGACGAATCTACCGCGGTCATAGGCAAAGGCAGTTCTTCTTGGCCGGGATGTCATAGCCATTTTTGGTTGTTGCTTTGAATCCAGCGCTTGTAGGGCCGGTGCCATCGTTTTCAGAATGTTGGGGACTTGTCCGTCCCTTCAGGTTGGTTCCCGCGCAATACGCTGCAGATACGCACTTAGCAATGCTCTGCTTTTTGCTCTTTGACCAGCTTTGAGCTTCGGCGGTAGCAGAAACAAGCCTGTGACCAGTTGATCAACTGATGTAGGTACGACTTTTGAGCCACATCTTCTCATTTTCGCTGTCAGATTCGATGAAGAGCCGTATTGAAGGGTCACGTGGCGCTATTCCGTTTAGCCCTGTCGCACCGCATCCAAACACGATTACCGTCAAACGAGAAGCATATTCAGCGAGAGGACAGCGGCCGACGCCTCAGGCCGGCACACTCGCCAGCGCAGGAATGTGCCCAGATTACCGGCTCCGGGGAGGTCACCGATACAGGCTGAATGTAATATGCCAGCTCTACGACGAACAGTCAGCGAGCAGTGATCACACGAAGCTTACGGCTGGGTGATCATACAGCCATTCGTTGCCAAAGTCCGTGTGTGGTCGGCTTCTTAAACAGGCCCACAAGTTTACGTCATCCGAGATGGAGGGCTGGCCACAGGAATGGAGCCTGGTGAGAACATTATGGGGCATTAACGATCCGTTTTCGCTGAAATGTTCGTTTCGTTCTCAAAAGGATTATCGCCATTCGAAGATAAGCCCATAACAAACCTTTCGCCAAATCATGAATCATCGCACGTCAGCTGAAAATCTAGGACGTGGGGTCTGAATCCCCACCAGAGTTCGTGCCTGCCATTGCACAATGCATTCAACGGGCAGCGGTAGAATCTACATCCATGGCTAAGGCCATCAATGCCTATATTCAGAAAATCGTCTTATGTGGTGGTAAGAACTCAATCATCCCTCAAGTCTTACAAATACAGAATGCCATGCATGCTTGATGATAGTTCGCTTCTTGACTCAAAATACAGAATGCCATGGTGCTTGATGGTACTTCGCTTCTTGATACATCTTTTTTATTTTACTGTTTTACTCGACCCACCCAGCGTAGAAACAAACCGTGCAGCAGACATAGTATTGTATTGATTCAAGCCACTCCAAAGACCACAGCGCCATCTACGACACTTGTCGATTGGCGTAAGTAGCAGTAGCAGCAGCCACCACGAGGTGGAAGCACAATCGTGGCGCCCGGCGGCCGGCCAAGCCTCACGTTAGTGGGGCCAAGAGCTGCCACGGAGACTGAGGGAAAGAGAGAGCGCGGCGCAGAGGCGACATATCAAAGCACTGGGTAATCATGCGCTGGCGTCTCCCGGCGAGCGTATCACCATGGGCTGGGGGTGGGGGAGGGATGTACAACAGACGGCTGGGGACGGTCCGGCGAAGCGGGGCAGGGGGGGGGGGGGGCACGCAGACTAGGTGCGGGAGGTGTCCATCGGGGAGCCAGGCACAACCGCTGACGGTGAGGCCGGTGGGTCGGTCGGTGTGGCCGCCCGGCCAGACAACGTCGGCGACATCTGTCGGCGAAGGCGCAAACACAACTTGGTGAGGTCACCGCCAGGAGTGCAGCCGAAAGCAATCTTAGTTCTGACTTAACTAGATGCTTAGTTAATGTCCGTAATCGATGCCCAGCAATATGACCATTCAGCCACAACAGTGGCGGCAAATCGAAACCTTTGGTAGCTGGAAGCGCAGCCGACCCTTCAAAGACCCTCCACTGCCACATTACTCCAGAAGTATGTGTATACACGACAGCGTATTTAGGCGGAAAAAGCATGTCAAGCATCGCTACAATGTCGACTAGTAAAATCACTGTCAAACAGATTTTCAACGCAATGTTCGTGCACGGTCTGTCCAGCCATTTGTCGGACGGAACCGGGAATTCTGGGGACGCGGAAGCGTGAGCACCCACACAGCCTTTGTAATACAAAACAAACTAACATAATCAAATTCCAATACAATCATGTGACCCTCGCCCGACGAAAGGCCTGCCACTCCACCTAGAGTTCTTTTTTCTAATAACTTGGTACCTGATGTCATGCCGGTTTTTCAGTTGACTGACATTTTTACCGTTATATCAATTTTTGAGCACATTTGTTCACATAGATCATGACCTATGAGCCCTTCATGACGGTCATGTAAGCCAGGTTTCTCGATAAATCAACAATGCTGTCCACTTGTTTGCAATTGGGCAGTGCTACTAGTTGGTTTTGGAAATATCATCACTTTGAACATCAGTAGTGTCAGGCCTGATTGTGTTCGAGGCTGACGATTAAGGTTATCAGAGGTCAAGCTAGGTCAAACATGTCAAATTGTTCTTTTATGCAGGATATATAGCACATGTGCTTGGAAAAATATTCCGCCGCCATCCAGCCTTCAGCATCATTGTGACGAACACCATACAGACAACTGCAGCGTATTTCTTACAACACAATTGCAGTGAATTTCTTACAAAGTCGCGCTGGGTCACAGCAACGTAAAATAGGCAAGTGTCGCCGCCATAATTTGGAGCGTGCTTGGTGTGGGGATGCTTTATTGGTGCTTATCCATTTCCCAACTAGCTTTGCTCATGTATACTTGCATGCAACCGACACTTATCGTTCAGAGATCAAGCAAGGTTATGCACTCGACTTGTCAGTGTCAGCATGCAGCATCTGGGCTACCCCATCGTCAGTGAAACGCGGTTGCAGTTGCAACGTGTGTCTGATACAGCCTGAGTGCCTTTGTTTGGCCTTACTCGTCATCGCGTAAGGTCAGCCGTATAACGGCGATTGCGACACATCGTTACACTCCCGTGACCGCGTCTGATCTGGCGCAGGTTCGTTCGGGTGGTGTCAAAAATAATTCAGGCGAAAAAGTTCGGCATCTTGTGCCGAACGTCGTTTAACGCGTTGTTGTCACGCCGACGGTCATCATACCACAGATAGAGGACAAATTTTGCCTCCTAAACAAGTTTGACCGGTCAAAGGCCAAGTTCATGCGATGCCAGTGCACCTGTGTGAGTGCCACACAATTCAAATTATGTATGTCCCACGATTTCAGTACAGCTACCTTGACTGCGCATCCAAATAAAGCATGTGTCGCCTCAACATTCTAGTTTGACGTCAGAGGTCACAAACTGGTCAAACCGGCAAGACAAACAGCTGGACATTTCAGGCAGATATCACTGTATCAAACGTCCGTCCGTCGTCCCACCTTGTTCAGTATGGCAGCTACAGCCAATGGGGCTGTGTACCTCGCACTTTCATGGACATTTCGGCAGTGGTGAGATTTCCGCCATCTGAGAGGTCATTCAGTAGAACCTCACCCTTAAACCCGGATATCTCCAGAATCGGAATACAGCAAAGTTGGCGGTGTTTACAGTATTACTTACGACAAAGACAGTTTAAGGTGATTAGTCTCACTGCAAGGTCACCTGTTGCCCTGGAACCAAAAACCCGGACCTATTCAGATACGTTAAGCAACGACAAACACGTACTGGCCTTTTATCTTGACTCCCTCTCTACCTGAGTTCACGAGTTGTTAGGGGTCTGTCAGTCCACCGCTCGTGAGGGGTGGGAGAGAGCTGGCCACGTCCCGGCTAGTGTCGGAGTGGAGCTACCTACACCCCGGCTTCCCACCCCTCGCGCACCTGCATGGGCCGGCCGGGGGACATGGCCGGAGCGCCAATGCTGATGGCCGGCGCCGTCGGCTTCACGAACTTGTCGTTGCCGGTGGTGCTGGCAGGCGGTGCCACCGGCGGCCTGGCCCGGGTCGCCGGCAGGTGCACCAGCGCACCGCAGTTGTGACAGCGCGGCGCCGCCGGCGACGGCGGTCCGAACATGTCACGCCCTATAGAGCACAGGTCAGGTCAGGTCAGGTCAGGTCAGGTCAGGTAAGGTCAGGTCAGGTCAGGTCAGGTCAGGTCAGGCCGGTAGAAGATCTCATGTCACGCTGAATCTGGGTGGAGGGGCGGATCCGTGGTTTGGCCACGACAGCGCGTGACCGGATACGCGCGCTGACATACACGCTGACATACCGGACACACGCGCTGACACACACGCCGACATACCGGACACACGCGCTGACATACACGCCGACATACCGGACACACGCGCCGACATACCGGACACACGCGCTGACACACACGCTGACATACCGGACACACGCGCCGACATACACGCTGACATACCGGACACACGCGCTGACATACACGCTGACATACCGGACACACGCGCTGACATACACGCTGACATACCGGACACACGCGCTGACATACACGCTAACATACCGGACACACGCGCTGACATACACGCTGACATAGCGGACACACGCGCTGGTTTTACCCCACGATTGTTGGTTCTCCCCTTCGCATGACCTAGCTGCCCCGCACCACTGCACCACCGACGAGTCGCGATGCAGACCTGGCGTTGGTCAAGGCTCTTCAGCTTTATTGGAACTTGACGAGTTTCTCTTCCCCATGCTACTCGGAGGCAGAGGGTTATAATTTGGTCCAATTGCATTTTAGTGAAAAGATCGTGACTAGTCCAACAACCTGTAAGAAAATCCCTACATTCCCAGACAGATTTTACACTGTTGTGCTCGTTGTTGCTGAAACTGCATAGTTGATATTAGTGGTTGCAAAGTTAACAATTTCCCAAAACCGTGACAGAGACGCCGGGTTGGGCAGCTAAACTGAAAGCGTCTTCTTAGTGCAAGCACCTGCAGCCCACTCGTAATAATTCCGAAGCGAAACAATCCAGCCATGCCTGCGACGCTGACAGTACCGGCTTGGTCGCCAGTGCAGCGGCATGGGAAAAATGAGCCCTGACGCCGACGAAGGATGGCCCGCGACTATTTGGGGCGCCAACATACGTCACTCTTGATAACGATGACCCTGGCCTGCTCGTTGTTCGCATCCATACGGCGCTCAAACAGCACAACAGCAGCTCATGTCGAGGGCACCAATATCAGGTCGACGTACTTCGTATGATGTGAGCTGTACGGGTGTCATGGCAGGGAGCCAACATATCACAAACAAGCAAACACCTTAACGAGCACGAACAGCCATCACGCTAGGTAAAAAGTGACAAACCCAAGAGATAAATCCCAGACAGCTGTCCATGACGCCAGCACGCAGGCGGGACGGGAGGCCGGATGGGGACGGGGCGGGAGACCGGGTGCGGCGGGGCGGCCCACCCACCGACGCCGCTGGCGTGCTGCGTCTCTGAACCTCACCGGGGCTGAGCGGGCGCGAGGAGCCAGGCGAGGTGAGCGAGGCCGGCCCCGGGCTGGAGACGGTGCGGCTGCGAGGGACGCCGCCGGGGTCCGCCTGGCGCTCCTCGTCCATGTCCAGGCTGAAACGGCCGGCGGCTGTCAGACGGTCTCGCCGAGATCTGGGGCTCCGGCCCAGCCGGCTCCTCCGGCGGGACGCAGCGCCACCAGCTCTCAGCACGTCACCCCGCGCCTGCCGCATGCAGGCCGAGACGCACACAACCAGCGTCGCCGCGACAATGAGCAGCGCCTGTCCGGCACCGCTGCGCCGCCGCCCGAGCACGGCCGGGCCGGGAGCGCATCGGAGCCTTGACGTCGGCCCTCGCCGGGTCCGCTCCGAACCCCCGGCCCGACCGGACGGACCTCTGGGTCCGGTCCGGGGTCCACTCGGGATGATCACGGCTCCAGCTCGAAAGTCTGCTCAGACTGTACCCTCGCGCTCACCTGGATACAGGCTGCTCCGGGCCAACCGTGACGGGCCTCGCTCCCAACATTAACCCCGACTTTGATCCAGACCCGGACCCTAACCCGGACCCTGATCCGGACCCTGGCTCGGGCCCGGATCCCGATCCAGACCCTGACTCTGGCCCCGACCCGGATCCAGACCCGGAACCTGACCCAAGCCCGGACCCTAACCCAGACCCTACCTTTAAGCCAGACCCTGACTATGATCCGCGCCCATACCCTGCTCCTGCGCCCGACCTCGTGCGACTCTGACCTGGACTCGGACTCGGAGAGGTGGCGGCAGAGCGTGTCCCGCCGATCCATTTCCACCTGGAGCCGGCGCTGCAGGCGCTGGTTCTCCTCCCGCACATGGCGCTCCTCCTGCGCGTAGTGCGCCATCTTGGCCGAGTCTGCCGGAGCGGGCGCACGCCGTCACCGCCCACGGCCGCGCCGGCACCGGCACGTGCTGGCACAGTCCTGAGGGCGCTGCCGGCCAGTCATGCGCGCGCGCTGCTCACTTCAAGGGGGCTAACTGGGCCGTCAGCCGCAACACGGGCGCACACCCGCGTACCGGCGGGGCGTACACGGACGTACACCCGTGTACCGGCGCGTGTGACCATGTACCACTGTACCCGCATATGGGCGGGCAGGAATCTGGCGCGTGTTTGCCGAACGCGATGTGCACAAGAGCGTGTAGACTTCGGAAATCCAAGACCACAGCCAAGTGGATTATGAACTGCGGCGGTTACGAGAATCCATAGCGAGCAGCGCCGACATTATTATCCCATCTGAACAGCCAGATTCCACGTGATCAGATACATCGTAACCAAAACCCCAGATGTCTATCGTCGGACCGAGCTGCGGCCGACGCGGCTGGTGTGGCTGGGCGGCTGCTGGTGTGGCTGGGCGGCCTGCGCTGCTGACGAGCTGGGCTGCCGCCCGCCCGTGTTCGTGAGGCCCAGCGTCGCCGCCGGCCGTACTCACGCTCGCGCCGCGAGTGCTGCAGCTGGCCCTTGAGCGCCGTCACCTCCCGGCGCAGCTGCTGGATGTAGAGGCTCAGGTCGCCGGCCGTCGACGAGTCGCGCTCGCGCTCGTCAGCGGCGGCGGCGGCGGCGGCGGTCGAGGCGGCGGTGGAGGCGGCGGAGGCGGTGGCAGCGGCGGCGGCGGAGGACGGCGCGCCGGCCGTCCCGGCGCCGGCGCCGGCGGACGGCGTGCCCGGGGAGGCCGGCTCGGAGTCGGCGCCGCGCTCCACCCGCTCCAGCTTGCCGGACAGCAGCCTGCCGGCCAGCGCCCCGTCATGGCCGCCGCACAACGCTCGGACGCGCACGTCAGATGGCACGCTGGACGCTGTCAAAATGACGTATCCACTCCCGACGCAGAACAGTCGCAAAAACACATGACAACTCGTGCTCAACGTGATCAAGATGCGGCTCGTAAAATGCAGTTATAGTGGCGCATGAACGCCACGCGCACACAACCGTACCTGCTGATTGCATTCAACGTTATGTTGTGTTGAGAACATTGCAGAACATCCCAGCGGCAAGGCGTGCGTTACCGTCAGCCCAAGGCAGGCCTATCGCACATCTGCAAGCCACCGTTTGTAGGAAGAGGGTTACTGACACATCGACACTAAGTGTTACCGCACGACGGCGCCGACAAAGATTGGGAGCGCATCCGGAGAATAACCGAATCGGGTGACCAGCTCGTGCCAGCATGGGCGGCGTGCCCCATCCCTTTCCTGCCGGTATGCAACAGCTATCACATCGGCGCAGCGTGGTGGCGTACCTCTTCTCGGCCTCCAGTTTCTCCATTTTCTTCCAGAGTTTGTTGACGAGCGCCTCCTGCTCCTGCTCTAGTGTGTTCTCCAGCTCCACCTGCCGCAGAGCGGGCTCAGCTGAGTGTCGCGGCGCCGCCAGCGCCCCCCCCCCCCCCCCTCCGAACATCCGGCGGCCAGCTGACTGACAGCAGCGGTCGGACACGGCGCCCGAGTGCGGCCACCTGACCCTGGCCGGCAGGCACCAGCGGTCGAGATGGCTTTCCGTCTGGCCCGATTATGCCACTTCCGGCCGTCAGTGGCTATTCCAGAGCTTTGGAATTCAGGAGCGCAGTGGAAGCGGGGAGCACACCGCCGGCTTGCCAGGCTACCTTCGACACGGACAGTCACAGCGTGCGACAGGGACCCCACACGGGGGCTGCGCGGCTGCTCGAGAGGAGACCCCGCCGAGGGCGGCTGCGAGCTAACCTACGGCTGATGGCCGCAGCAGCCCCCGGAGCTCCTGGGGCACCGCACCGCGTGAGACGGAGCGTGGCCGGCGAGAGGAGGACGAGACCGCAGCAGGCCCCCGGAGCTCCCAGGGCGCCGCGGCACGTGGGACGGAGCGTGACAGAGGAGGACGAGGCCACAGCAGGCCCCCGGAGCTCCCAGGGCGCCGCGGCACGTGGGACGGGGCGTGGCAAGAGGGCGACGGTCGCAGCAGGCTCCCGGAGCTCCCGTCGCGCCGCGGCGCGTGAGACGGAGCGTGGCAGGGGAGAGGAGGGCGACGGTCGCAACACGCCCCCGGGCTCACGGAGCGCCGCGGTGCGTGCGACGGGGCGCGGCGGAGGAGGGCGGCAGCGGCTGTGCTCGTCTGAATCGGCGATCTGGCGCAGACACAGCCCGGTGCGCCAAGTCTGGCTGAGACCGACGCAGCTCTGACTGGACCTGGCGCCGCCCTGACCTGACCTGACCCCGGTACCGCCCCGTCTCAGCCTGACGCTGGCGCCGACCCACCGGGCTGGCCAGTTGACTGTGCGAAGCTCTGATCCTTACCGACACGTGGCGACGTCAGGACTGAGATATAAGAAGGTCCCAATGGGGCTCACTAATAAAGGACGACCTACCGAGCAGCGTCACGCCCACTGCTCATGTTGAAAACGTCCGATCTGGTGCGCAGTGACAAACGGACACCCGTCCCACAGGCCAACAAAGCGTCATCGATTGCCTGGACACGTCGTAGCGGTCCCACTTGTTCATGGCTGGACGCGCGAGTGTCACATGCGCCAATCCGGAAATAAAAGCCCTTGAATTAAAGGTCGTGCGTTATCAAACGCCTGCGTGAGCGTGGACAAGCATCGCCCACAGCACTCAGCGCGGGCCGACACGGACCGCGAGCGGTCATCACCACGCTGTGAGCGACACCGCGAGGCGGCGCCCTGCATACCCGCCGAGGCCCGTACGCTGCTGGGCATCAAGTATATATGACAGTCGAACCGGCCAGTGGCTGCTTCCCGGAAGATTGGTGCGGATCTAAAGACATCCTGACGACACGTGCCGACATTCTGACGACATTCCCACGGCCCATGCGCAGCCCGCCGCGTACAAGCCGCCACCGCTGGTGGCTGAGTCACAGCGCGCGGCGCACCGAGCCCACAAATGGCCCCGTTTGGTTCTGACTCATGTCCACCCCTCCCCCCCCCCCCCCTGCGAATGCGACAGATACTTGGTTATTCAGCGAACCAGTCACCACGTCTGGCTAGTGACCAGTGAGTCACTTTTGCGCCGCTCCCCAGCCCGTACCGCTGTCTTGGGTGCTCCAGTACGGCTCGCCGCCCCCCGACCCCGACCGGCCTCGGAAGACAGGGTAATCCCCCTGTCCTCGACAGTCCGGGCCGCCGCATTCCGTACCTTCTCTCTGCGCAGTTGCTCCAGCGTCACTTGCTTGTTAAGCGTCTGCGACTCCAGCTTCTGGATCTTGTTCATGAGCTTATTGACCAGGCACTCCTGCTCCTGCTCCAGCGTCTGCTCCAGGTGCTCCTTCTCGTGTCGCAACTGTGGGCACCAGGAGGACTCAGCGGCGGCCGGCAGCGCACGCGCACGGAGGCTGCCACCTGGGGTAATACCCGGAGCCCGACACCGCCGCGGCTGTAGCATCGGACACCAAGATAACCGGCGCCAGCCCAGTCACGCCGGCCGTGAACGCTGCTACCTCGGGTTCGACACGAGCACTTTTACTTTCAAAAATTTTAATCCATCGAAACTGGCCTCGAAACGAAACGAGCCGGCGTGGTCATGGTCCGGTTATGTAAACGCTGTTTCAGCGGACCCGGGAGCCGGCACACAAGGCTCCGTTGTGTAACTGGCACGTACTAACAGACGGAAGTTACCAGGAAAGGCCATTACCTTACGCTCTCTCGGGGGTCAGGGCATTAGCCGACATTGTTTGAGAGACGATTTATATAACAAAGCCGGCTTCCATCGTAGTTCATGGGAGGTATACCCATCCACAGTCATAAGCGATGACATACGACGAACGCTAACTGGCAAATAACACACGGCAACTGGGAGTCTCGCTTTGACATTTCCAATGTTGTTTTTTGTTCAGAACTGTCAGTGTTTCACCGGCCGTCAGCCTGTTATGGAAGTTGAGCTATCTACGCCGGCGAACTCCGGAGATGCAGAGGAATCATCTGAGAGCACCGGCACCACCAGCATCGGTCGATCGAGTAACCCTATCTATCACGCGGCTGCAGCCGTCACCGTCTGACCTCTCCCGCGCGGCGCCCAGCGCCAGCCGCAGACGTCGTCGACAGCAGCGAGACAGCAGTGCAAGTAGGCGCGGCAGCGAGGGACGGACCGCTCTGTATTGGTGGGGCGGGACGGCCGCTGCACCGGCGGCGCTCGGCGCTCTTTACGGCACGGCTCGAGGCGCCAGCCTTTCCCCGCCGCATTCGCGGCGTAGACCGGAGCCCCATCCGACAGCGGCCCACTGGGACCGCCTGCAGACCAGGTCCGCAGCGGCGCCTCGGTGCCGTCCGGCAGCGGCGGACGGTACGCCGCTGACTAACAGGGCCGGTCGCCGCCCGGTTCGGCCGGCGCCGGGGCCCCCTGTGCACGTGCTCTGGCGCCGGCCGCCGCCATCGCCAGAGGCCGCCGCAGGGGCCCCACGGGCCGGCCGCCGCGCCGGGGAGGGGTCACTGCAGCCGGCGAGGGCCGGCACCGCGCCAGTGGAGTGGTCGCGGAGCCAGCCGCCGCCTCCCCCTTCACCCCTCCCCCCTCCCCGCACACCGCGCCGTGTTGACATCGCGCTCAAGGTCATCACGGCAATCAGGAGGAGGGGCGGACTTCTGGAAACACCCCCAGGTCACACAGCGTGTTTGCTCGCTCGCGGCGCCCAAACGTGCCACGTCTTCCTGGGTGTGCCCGAATGGCATCCGAGCAGAACATACAGCGCGGTGAAAACGAGCCAGCAATGACCGTCTGGATTACCTGAATTGATTTACCGGATCGTCGAGGGGCACATGGCGCACGCACAACCATCATTAGGACCAAAGGCATTACACCAAATTTTGGTGCAACAGTCTCAAGGAAAACAACGCCAACACCAAGCATTTTCGGCAAGTCTTCTGCAAGCACCGAGAGGACTGCGCCATTGTGATTGAACGAGGGGCATTTCCTGCGGCGGTCGTGCGTAAACAATGCCGCCTGCCCCAGACGCGGACGGGGAGCGGACCACGCCACACACGTGGCACCAATCAGCGGGCCGATCGCGGGCGGCGCCGCGCCAGCAGCCGGGCCGCGGCAGCACGGCCAGCCGCCCGCATGGCTGGAGGCGGGGCACACCAGCTGGACATGCCGAGGTCGCCTCGTCCTCATCTCAGATGAGGACGCCACGTCACAAACCAGGCGGCGATGCTGCGCCCCTGGGAGACGTGACGCCTGCCGAGAGCGCAGATGGCGCTACTGACAAGACGCCACGCCATCACGACTAAGGACACCCGGGCTGACAGGCTGTCAGGACGGGGCGCCGCCAGAAGATCGGCTGACCAGCTGCCGGACGGAGGGGAGACAGAGATGTCTGACAGTGCCCTCCTCGCTAGCTGTCAGCAGGGGGAGGGGTGAGAGGGAGGGCGACCCGGCGCAAGGTCCCGCGACGCTGTCTGCCGCACCGGCCGCAGGTGGAGCGCCGCGGGCGCCGCCGTATTTGCCCGGCACCCTCCTGACCCCTCTCTCTCTCTCTCTCTCTCTCTCTCTCTCTCTCTCTCTCTCTCTCTCTCTCTCTCTCTCTCTCTCTCTCTCTCTCTCTCTCTCTCTCTCTCTCTCTCTCTCTCTCTCTCTCTCTCTCTCTCTCTCTCTCTCTCTCTCTCTCTCTCTCTCTCTCTCTCTCTCTCTCTCTCTCTCTCTCTCTCTCTCTCTCTCTCTCTCTCTCTCTCTCTCTCTCTCTCTCTCTCTCTCTCTCTCTCTCTCTCTCTCTCTCTCTCTCTCTCTCTCTCTCTCTCTCTCTCTCTCTCTCTCTCTCTCTCTCTCTCTCTCTCTCTCTCTCTCTCTCTCTCTCTCTCTCTCTCTCTCTCTCTCTCTCTCTCTCTCTCTCTCTCTCTCTCTCTCCTCTCTCTCTCTATCTCTATCTCTTCTCTCTCTCTCTCTCTCTCTCTCTCTCTCTCTCTCTCTCTCTCTCTCTCTCTCTCTCTCCTCTCTCTCTCTCTCTCTCTCTCTCTCTCTCTCTCTCTCTCTCTCGTCTCTCGCTCTCTACTCTCTCTCTCTCTCTCTCTCTCTCTCTCTCTCTCTCTCTCTCTCTCTCTCTCTCTTTGTGACTCTCTCTTTGTGACTCTCTCTTTGTGACTCTCTCTTTGTGACTCTCTCTTTGTGACTCTCTCTTTGTGACTCTCTCTTTGTGACTCTCTCTTTGTGACTCTCTCTTTGTGACTCTCTCTTTGTGACTCTCTCTTTGTGACTCTCTTTGTGACTCGCTCTCTGTGTGACTCGCTCTCTGTGTGACTCGCCTCTCTGTGTGACTCGCCTCTCTGTGTGACTCGCCTCTCTGTGTGACTCTCCTCTCTGTGTGACTCTCTCTCTTTGTGACTCTCTCTCTCTTTGTGACTCGCTCTCTTTGTGACTCGCTCTCTGTGTGACTCGCTCTCTGTGTGACTCGCTCTCTTTGTGACTCTCTCTCTTTGTGACTCTCTCTCTTTGTGACTCTCTCTCTTTATGACTCTCTCTCTTTGTGACTCTCTCTCTTTGTGACTCTCTCTCTAAGTGACTCTCTCTCTAAGTGCCTCTCTCTCTGTGCCCCCCTCTCGCTGCCTCTCTCTCTCTATAAACGAAAGCCCATCAAGGTGGGAAAACGTAAAATGAGAAAAAGAAATCTCCGGTTTACCTACGTGTGCGGGGCTTGGGTCAGAAGGGATCAGAAGACACATCCCGAGAGGCACACATACCTCACTATCTTCGTGGCTAGTGACGGCGCGACGATTATGAACAAAAACCAGCCAGCCGGGGATCCTATTTCCACCATCTGCGCTACAAATTACGGCTAGACGACGGAACGACTTCACGCGGCCGACCGAGTGCCGAACAAACGCGGCCGGCGGAGGGTGCGGTGAAGCGTGGCCGGAGAAGGGCTCCTCCTGAATCAAGGTCCGGCTCGCCGAGCCCCACGCGCCACCAGTGAGGCGAGCGGGAACGAACGGCAGACGTCACGTCAGACCACGCGTCAGGCGAGCGGGATCACGGATCTGTACGGGATCTTTCTTTTTTAAATGTCGCGCCATTCTGTGTCTGTGGCGATAAGACAAAAACGTTCTGTTTCTCCATGGCATTAAAGGTGCTCAACAATGTCCCTTCTTACGCGAGGACGCCAGGGGCAGCCCCACTTCCCAGCATGAAAGACGACACCAGAATTTGAAAGGCGCTACACGTATGCACAGATACAGACACCGATCTAAGGAATTACAACAAGTTTCGTTTTAACTGGACATCGGTGATAAACAACCGTTTTCCAAAGGCAAGGAAGTGCACATACTAGACTAAAGAGATAGATAGATTTCAGAAACAGATCCGTCCCGGAAAGGGGAGGTTAGCGAGCGAGACCACCACAGGGCGCAAGAGGTGAAGCGGCTTCTTCCGATGTCCACGGCTGGAGTTTGACGTGATATGTTGGCGTGATATCGATTGCCGTTTGATGTGTTTTGATTTGACGTTTGCGTGGTAGGAGAGCCTCCCTAGCGAGACCGACGGCTGTTCACCACGAATCGCAACAGATGGGTCGGCGCGGACCACAGCCGCCGCACTATACGGCCGCGTGCCCCTCCCAACCCGCTCCGACTCCGCTCGTGCCACTCCCAGGCCGCCCGGACTCCTTTCGTGCCACTCCCAGGCCGCTCGGGCTCCCTAGTGCCACTTCCAGGTCGCTCGGGCTTCTCTCGTGCCACTCCTAGGCCGCCCGGGCTCCACTCATGCCACTCCCAACCCGCTCCAACTCCGCTCGTGCCACCCCAAGGCCGCCAGGCTTCTCTCGTGCCACTCCCAGGCCGCCCGGGCTCCTCTCATGCCACTCCCGATCCGCTCCAACTCCGCTCGTGCCACTCCCAGGCCGCGCGGGCTCCTCTCGTGCCACTCCCAACCCGCTCCGACTCCGCTCGTGCCACTCCCAGGCCGCCCGGGCTCCTCTCGTGCCACTTCCAGGCCGTTTCGGCCTCCCTGGTGCCACTCCCAGGCCGCCCGGGCTCCTATCCCGGGCTCCTATGGGCTCCAGGCCGCTCCGGCCTTCCTCGTGGCACTGCCAGGCCGCCCGGGCTCCCCTCGTGCCACTCCCAGGCCGCTCGGGCCTCCCTCGTGACACATGAGGCCCACTGCCGTGTCGACGGCCAGCCCGACAGTCGCCCTCTCAGCCGCAGTCCACCGGCGCTCGGCACAGAGCTGACCGTTAGCTGTAGTCCACCGGCGCTTAGCACAGAGCTGACCGTCAGCCGCAGTCTACCGGCGCTCGACACAGAGCTGACCGTCAGCTGCAGTCCACCGGCGCTCGACACAGAGCTGACCGTCAGCTGCAGTCCACCGGCGCTCGACACAGAGCTGACCGTCAGCTGCAGTCCACCGGCGCTCGGCACAGAGCTGACCGTGAGCCGCAGCCCACCGGCGCTCGACACAGAGCTGACCGTCAGCAGCAGTCCACCGGCGCTTGGCACAGAGCTGACCGTCAGCTGCAGTACACCGGCGCTCGACACAGAGCTGACCGTGAGCCGCAGCCCACCGGCGCTCGACACAGAGCTGGCCGTCAGCTGCAGCCAAACGGTGCTCGGCATAGAGCTGCCCCCTCGGCTGCAGCCTACCGGCGCTCAACACCGAGCTGTCCCCTCAGCTACAGCCCACCGGTGCTCAGTGCAGAGCTACCCTTCCCTCCCCTCCCCTACCCAACCGCCGCCCACCGGCGCTCCACACAGAGCTACCCCTTCGGCTGCAGCCTACCGGCGCTCGACACCGAGCTGTCCCCTCAACTACAGCCCACCGGCGCTCGGTGCAGAGCTACCCTTCCCTCCCCTCCCCAGCTGCAGTCCACTGCCGCTCGACACAGAGCTACCCCTTGGCTGCAGTCCACCGGCGCCCGGCAGAGGCCGCAGCGCGCCTGAACTGCTCGCCGCCCCGATAATCAATGACGGCCTCGGTGGCTGCCCTGGCGGGCGGAGCGGCCGGCCGGGGGCGACACCGCGGCGCCGGCCGGCCCGGAAGCGGCGACGCCGCGCGGCCGGCCCGGTGGCCGCCGCCGGACGCCAGGCCGTCTGGCGCGGGGCGCTCACGAGCCTGCCCCGGACCCGTCCGCCCGGACATCGGCTGGAGGCGGCGCCGGACGCGCGGCTATCCGGCGCGGCGATCGGACACGCCCCGCTGACACCTGCCCGGCCGGGCATCGACCTGCCCAGCTGGACAGCAGCCCGAGGCGGCGGCTGCGGCGCGCGCCCCACCAAACTGGCCGGCCACGTGGGATACACGCCATTGTCTGACAATACGGTCTGGGGCTCCGGCAGCGGGGGGCCACACTTGTTGGCGCTTGCGTCAGCCGGTGGTGCGCCTGCGTGTGCCACGGCCGCGTGGTCGACCCCGGCACACGCAAAGCTCCGGTCACGTGGAGCGGGGACAAATAAACGCGTCTCCGAAGCCGGCGGCGCGCGGGCATCCCCGCCGGCGCACACGGCTCAGCTGCCGCGCACGTCCGATGGCGAGTCTTGCGCCGACATGTCGCCAGCACGTGATCGGCCGAGCGGCCAGCCGATCGGCTGCCTCGGGCGGCCGCTGTGCACCGGCAGCGTCGGCCGGCACCGCGACACGCCGGCTCGTCCCGTCCCGCGTCGGCCGGCTGGTCACCACCGCCGAGCCGGCGGCACGGGCACGCCGGCAGCCGGGCCCTGCCGCGTCCCGCGCCGCCCTCAGCTCTCATCACGCCCGCCAGCGGCGAATGACCTCCGCGACCGCGCCCGACGGCCGGTGTCGACTGTGGGGGAGAGGGGGAGGGGGCGGGAAGTAGTGCACTGCTTCACCTCCGCCCTTTGGTGGCACACGTCTTTGTCTGCTGCCATAGCAGACTCGACCACAAGGGATGCAACGGTGATTGTTTGTTCTTCGGGAGCCACGATTACTGGACCATATAACGGCAGTCCAGTCAGACAAACACGCTCGACCGCGCCACGCGGGCTGGGTGCGGAGAGAAGGTCGATGGCTTTCTCCCCTCCCCCTCCCCTTAGACTTGGACCTACGGTGCCGTCTGCCACGCGGGCAGCTCCGGCCGACGCTGCGACAGCCAGCCCGTGCCTCTCGAGCGGCTGCGCCCGGCCGACCGCGGCCACACGCGGCGCCCGGCACCCGGCCGTTGAACCACACCCGCCAGACGCGGCGGGCGCCGGCCGTTCACCACTCCGAGCCACTATAGTCTATCTATTTTCCATTTAATAACTTTGCGTCGTTTGTCTTTCATCTCATGGCTCTCGCGGGTGCTTCCGGCGTTGCAACAGATTACCGCCAGAGCCTGCTATGACCATCTACGTCAAAATGCCATTCAAGTTTCATACAGATTTTCGCTTCTCATTTACCGCCAGGGGACACTCTCTGGGGACACTCTCTGGCACGGCCGGCCGTGCCAGATCAGTCCCCTTGTGGTAAGGTCAGTCGACCCGACTAGCGCATGCGTCTCGAGGCTCCCACTCAACGCCACCACGTGACGGGTCCAGCGCCCAGTCCCTAGGCCGCGGCCGCCACACGGCGAATATTGAAGGCGCAACTGCTCTCAAATAGTCTGACCCACCGACCGATATTACATAAGCGGCTGTCTGATAGCACCGACCGTCCAACGGATATGGCATAAGCGGCTGCTCGCTCGTGCCGAGAGGGATCTGCCATACCTGGCACAGCTTGCGCGACAGGTCGTTGGTAAGGCACTCCTCCTCCTGCTCATAGTTGATGGCTAGCGTCTCCTTCTCCTTCTTCAGCGCCTGGATCTTCTTCAGGAGCGTGTTGCTGATGTACTCCTCCTCCTGCTCCGCGCGTGCTTGCTGCAACAGCGGGAGGTCCCGGTCGGAAGGAGTTCAGATGTCACCGGTGCTCAGAGGCAGTGGGACCTCCGCCTCTGTGGTGGCAACTGGTTAGTCAGTTATTACGGCCTTAGACTGCGCCGTCCTAAAGCGCCCAGTGGTGGCGCTCGATACCTTGTCAGTTGTCGGCAGAATCTCCGCATGAGTGGCTTAAACATACATACATATATCCTACATATAGGTATATCATACATGCGGATACATCATACCTGCAAATATAACATACATACAGATACACATATAAACATATTAGATATAAGTTTCACTCACCACTTAAGTAATCCTCGAAATGCAACCCAATGGTGAACATTTCGACAAAAGGCAGCGGCGCACACAACTACAAACGTCCGTACTCTACCACAGCACCGCGCTCGGCGACTGAAGTGGGTTGCACTGGAGGAAGCCTATAACCGAACAGATAAAAAAAAAACACTCCAAAATTCACTTCCAGAGATCATCACTCACACCTGCCGTGCCTAAGTTCTCTGAGGTTCGTTTTATATAGAACGCCTGCACATTAACACGCACTTATAAAATTAACGAGGCATTAAAAACACCGAGTCGAAGACACTTTCGCCTCACGTGGCATTCCTTAGTCTCTCTTAGTCACAATCCCATTAAGTTTGGGGCACGCGGCACCCAGGTCTCCAGCCATGAGTGACAGCGCGTTTGCTGGTCGCTAAAAACGGCGCAGCTGTCCGCGTTGGCAATCCATCTCGAGACGGCAAACAGGTGCCATTCTACGCGCGATCGGGCACACTACGCGATCGGGCCCCGTCCGCATGACGTCATCGGCGAGGAGCGGGGAAGCCCGGCCGACAGCCCCTGGACTCTGACGTCACGGCCAGCCGCCGGTGCTCCCCTCGCCCGGTCAGGTGGCGGTCACGTGACGGACCTCGCCGGCGGCCGCGGGGTGGGCGACGGCCAGCCGAGTCACGCTCGGCCGCCCCGCAGACGGGCACGCTCCCGCTCGAGGCGAAATAAGCCGGGCGTGACGTGGGCCGTCAGTGCTTGCAATAATGGCTGTTACAAGTGCTAAAAATATCACTTTACTGGGCTTAAAGCAAAAAGCGGTCTAAACAGACCCAAAAGTACAAACAAAAGCATACGGAATAGGTGGCAGGCCCGGTGCCGGCGGCGAGATAGCGCACTTGAGGGCGGCAGCTGGCCGCCGCCCGGTCTGCCGGAGACAGCATCGGCGACGACCGCTGGCGCCGCAACACTTTCACCTCGGGCACACCCGCCTCGTTTTGCAAACACCCACGTCCCCTCACAGCGCCGGAAAGACGGATGCCGCAGAAACGGTGCAATTGAACGCCACCCATGGGCGACCACCATGCTGGTGTTGCATGCTGGTGTGAAAGGGAGTGTGGACACAGACCTGAATTACCTTGCAATGGCAAATTCAATTTATGAAGCTTATTATGGTCACAAGAAAAGCAATGCAATTGGAAGATGCCGGCAAATAATCCAATTCTGGTCCTTCGCATGATTTGCAGATTATGTTATATGCAAACTGCCAATTGGGTGAGGGTTCAAAACACAATCACCTGCTTGACAGCAAAAGAGTGAGCACTGATTGACAAACTGACTAGGACATGAAAAACACTGCCTGGTTTTCCAGCTGATTTTCCTACTTAACAGCTGCATCACACATTCTTTGCAGTTCTGCACCAAATATGGCTTAATTTCCTTACCTTTCTCTAAATGTGACTTAGACAACATGTGCTGATCATGATTGACAAATGATGGTGATTAAGACATTGGACAACTCATTGGATACTCCAAAATCCTTGCTGCAATTGCCATTTGTTCTATCTTTGTGCCCAATCATCTTGCTGAACACCTAGTTGATGGAAAAGCAGCTGTCATATCTGGGGTATGTAGGCTGCTTACAGGACCCCAGTGGGACTGGGATGAAGTGCCAGAATGACTGTGGTGTTTTGCCTATCTAGCAAATGTTAATGTGCCTTATATGCAGTATGCCATGTAGGGGAAATTGCTTGACATGATATTGGTGTAATTACTGCAGCAGGGCTGGGGTAGACCATTAGAGTATACAGTGTGGGTGTGTGTCATTGGGGCTTTACAACACACTCAGCTGCTCAGGCTATATGGCATTGCCCACCTCTCACCCTGGTGGGAAGGGTGGGCACTGCAGAGAATCAAACCCCTACCTCTGGTTTCCCAGATGCACAGTGGTTAACACAGACATGTTTACCGCTCAACTACCAGCAATACTGCCACTACAACAATACTGCCACTACACTACTGGCAATACTGGCAAAACAACATGCTGCCAATAATGTGTATTTGTGTTTTACTTGCAGCTGGTCAGCATAGAGATAAGCTACATCATAACTCTGCATGCACGCATATAACTAGCTACACTTAATGTGGACCACATTGCATCTGAGAGACATAGTAATTACAGGCATATTAAGAAGCAAAGATATCACACAAATACATCATATCTTCAGTGCAAACTGCAGCATCAGTGCAAACTGCGGCATCATTCTTGTCATTTGATATATGCCTCTCCTTTGATCTAGGAGGGAAGAGGAGGATAGTGGATATGCTATCCAGCAGCACCAGGCAGCAGTACCAGAGCTGGCATATTGTTTGGTTCCACTGACGAAGAGGTCAGCTGGCAGCTTAAGGGTTGATAATATCGGGAGCTGAATACCTGTGCTATTACGCATATCTTGCATAACTGTCACATGAACTTTTCTGTCCAAAAAGACAAGCCTGCCTTGCATTGCCTGGAGCAAAACGTCCTCTAAACGTGCTTGGTCAACAAACTGCTTTTGAACTAAATGATGTAAACTCACTAGACTAGAACCCACTATGACAATTGGTCAATCAGCATTATCAAGCTCATTACAGCACTGTCTAATCCTAAAAAACTGATGTTCTGCCATATGTTTCATCCTTTTAGAAGTGCCCAAACCTGGCCACTATGCAGGATATTTACCAAGTTGTGATCTTTCAAAATATAAGCCTAACCACTATGTAACTAACATAGTATGGCAACCAATGATGGCAGTGGTATGTTATTTAACTTATCACTAAGAACAATCCAAAACATTTTTCAGACTTGACATTTAAATTACCAAAATGATTGACTTACTTTATTTGGCCATATGATGACAAGACACAAATGTGCTTTTTTGTTGTAATGATCTATCTTCACCTTTGCTTGAGTAATAAATCTGTATGAAGGCAATGCATCCTTCCAAGCACAGTGTAAAATTCTTCATTTTTTCTCAGCCATGCCATATCTTAGCTTAACACTTTTATGATTAGAGTGGAAATATTTTCCACAAATGGGGAGAGGCATTATGTTTTTGACACATCCCACAACCCTTTCCTGCTATGACACAAAGCCAGTTAACAGTGCAATACACTTTGCTATAACCAGTATCACTGATTTAAAGCATGCAATACCACATTGCAGCAAGCGAAGCATTGGTATCTTTCTTTGGCCCAAGCAGAGCACTGGAGTATAAAATGGCATGCCATTTTCACCATCCACTATCATTTTCCAGCCAAACAATTTCAAAATACCACTGATATTGCTTAAGGTGCAGGAAGTGTGTGGTCATCACCAGTACAGCTGACACATTGCAAAGACACACCATAGCGGCGGATACTCACAATGTTAACGGACGCTTGCTTCAGGGCACGATTTTCCTCTTGCAGTCCCTTGACACGCAGCCTATATGTATCCAGCTCAACTTTTAACACTCGATTCTGCTGCGCTAACGACTCAATCCTTTTTTGCAACTGCTCTCGTGTGATGGGCGACGGAGGCATGAGGATAGATCCGCCGTCAACTGACCCAGAATCGCTTTCACTGGCGCTGTCCGCCATGACTAGACGAAGCCAAGCCTTCTGATCGACCACACAATGCTTCTAGATCATCAGCCCTGAAAGCCAACGAACTCCAAGAAGGACAGACTAATTCGTCGATAAAACGACGCTGAGATGCCGGGCATAAACGACTCACACTCGCCCACTGGCGAGTATCCTCAACAATCCAAAACACACCCCTCACGCCCGAATGCAAATCTCAACACACTGATCACTAGAATGCAACGAGTTCCAAACCCAGTGAGTTCAGCTAACGCCAACGATTATCTCCAATCACAGTTAGGATGACTAAGGCCTCTTCTGTATTAAGTATTTTGATTGGTGTAAAAGATTGTAGGATTTCTACCCACAGTAGCTGAACAAAGTAAGCTTCCAAGTTGATCCAGCTGCGGAGAACACCAAATCTTGCGCAGCTGTTACAAAACCAGCTCAAAAGTTCTTCATAAAATAAATCGTAATTAAATGGTTTCTCCCAAAATTCCTGTTTTCGTGCTGCATTTGTCATTGAATTTCAATAAAGTGCGTTATAAGCTGTGCTCCTAGTACTTTCGATCCGATGGTAAAGGAATTTTGGCAATTAGTTAGGGCTCGGCACTACGTATACGACATGTCTGGCGCATGTGTTACAATATTTTGCAGAAGCATAATCCACGTCAGGTGGAACGAGTTTACACGAGCTTGGTAACTAGTTCGCAGCGTAATTGTGGTGCTTGCCACAATTCTTGTAAATAGTTGATCTCTCAGCTCTGAAGTGGTGTGCTAACAAGTACCTCTAATGTACTTGTTAAGTAGTTAGTAGTTAAGTAAGGTAGTTCTGGTCCACCCACCTGTGTTAAGAAGGGTTTGATTAACTTAAGGAGCATACTTTTTACCCTTGGCTGGGTTGGCATGAGGCCTCGATAACAAGTACCTCTAAGGTACTTGTTAACGAAATAACTGGTGGCCGCGGCCGTCTAGGTCATTGACGCCACAGTATGATTGTTAGTGTTATGCTCGTCGGAATATAAGTACCTGTTTGCTTAACAAATAAGTGTGTTTGACAGGCAGTTTCAAACGATCGTATTTTGTTTTTGAGGGATCGAGGATCCATATTGCAGCTAAGCTTACCAGCATACATGTGAGGCCTGGAGCCACGTCTTTGTTACGTGTTCCTGAAGTAGCAATGTTGTAGGCATAGGGCATCTTTTATAAAGATGGGTTGGATTAACTTGAGGAGCCTGCTTTTTACCCTTGGATGGGTTGGCAGGAGGCCTCAGTGAGGTTTGCATGACATGTATGGTCAGGACATACCATGTACCAAGCTTTTTGCTAGAAGATTGTCCTGATGACATGGAGCCTTATGACCAGATGGGAGGAGTCAAGGCTCATGCAACAGGCACTACTTGTGTGAACTCTGATCTCAAAACTTCATCCAGTCAAAAGGTTTTAACTAATATGCTTGTTGTGACATTAAGTATGCAGATAATATTGATTTTGCAAACCACTCAAGATAACAATAATTACAGTTAGAAACCCCCATTTGAGGATAAGCAATGCATAGATGAGGACAATCTTTGCAATGAAAGAAATGAATGTGACCAATAAAAAGCAAAAAGAATGTGGTGCAAGCTAAAATTTGCCCAGATGTCCACCTAGTTGGCATTGGTATTCTCTGGTTGGTTGTCTTGGGCAGTATCAGTGTGCATTATGTGTCATGAAAGTCAGTGGGGTCTTGAAATAAGTGACTTGGTGGCAAAGTAAGACACACAATGTTTTTTATTGTATCTTTTTGAGAACAACAAAAGCATTCTTATTCTAGAAAGAGGTGTTTCAGCCCCAGCAAATTTTATTCAGCCAACACACTTCCTCTTCTGTGGTTTTTCATCAACTTTCTACATACAGAGCTTTAAACTCAGAATGCAGAAAGTTGAGGAGACTCTTCTGGTTCTTCCCATCTTCAATTTATGTGAGGCAAATTAAGCTTGTGCACACAAGCTGTGCCTTAGGCACCTGTGCTGTCTGGCAGGTGTGGTCTGCTGTGACATGATGTGTATGCTGTGTAAGCAGACCATCTACCCATCTGCCCTGTGACAGAGCACTCCAGCTTTTGCATGCTGGCAGCCATCTATGTGGTCATACACCAGATTAAATTTTGGGGACTCAATATATTTGGCCACTTGATGGCATGGTTTCCATGTTGGGCTGTTGTTCCATCAGCAAATCAGTCAGTTTTCTTTACCAGAACAGATATTGTGTGTAAAGAAGTAGAAATACCAGTTCTATGATGCTGATGCTTCACAATGATATTTAAATTCATAGCTTTTCCTTTGTTGCTTGCAGGAGCTGTGCCAGGAACTCATCATGATTCACAGCCTGTTTATCATAAACAAAGGTGGTGACGTGTTCCTGGAGAAGCACTGGAAGTCTGTGATCCACCGCTCTGTATGTGACTACTTCTTTGATGCTCAGGCCAAGGCAGATGACCCTGTTGATGTGCCACCAGTGAGTATTTCTGTTAGTCACACAAATGTAGCTGAAAATGCACATCCAAAAATTTATCATGATAATTTTAGTCATAAGCAGAGAGCAATTTGTATGCCTTGGCTCCTGTAACTACACCATTTTCCATATGTGTTAAGTCAGATGCATTAATCACTACACTTTAAGCCTCCTCAGTCTGTGCCTTGAGCCCAGTTAGTGGACTGGTAGCAGTACACCACTGAATCATCCTGCTGGGGGCCCCTGCTCAGCAGTGTGACCTTATGTACAGGACAATGTAGGCCATGTCCCTGAACTTGTAGTGCAAATGTGTGCTGCAACCAGGGCACCGACCCTGTCTGGCTTTAACACGCATTCAAGTGATGTGGCATCAGGACAGGTTGGATTGCTAGTCTGTTAATGCTAATTGGGGACTGGGGCTTCAACAACCTTATCAAGAAAATGTCATTCATGCATTGTCGTCGGCCCGCCGCCAGCCCCCGCCTGAGCCCTCCCTCTGGTGTGACCGCGGCGCCTCTGCCTCCAGGTGATCACAACACCGCACCACTATCTGATCAGCGTATTCAGAGGTGGCCTCTACTTCGTGAGCGTGTGCACCTCAGAGGTGGTGCCGCTGTTCGTGGTGGAGTTCCTACACCGCGTGGTCGACACGTTCCAGGAATACTTTGGCGACTGCTCCGAGTCGCTCATCAAGGAGCACTATGTGGTCAGTCAGTCGTCAGGAAACATCAGACGGTCTGTCTGTCACTCACCTCGGAACGCTATACATTCTGTTTCCAGGCTGTCACCGAGTCTGGTACATCACGTCTGCCCAACTTTGTTTGGTCTTTACATTAGCAGAAGGCTGCATCGGGTAACATGATTAGGCATCACACGGCATGCATCAGAGCAGCAGGCGCAGATCCTCTGGCTGTCGCGCGACGTCACATGCCGTCGCTTCACGATCGGGCCCCTTACGAGGCGGGTGATTGAGGAACGTGTGGGGTCAACAGGACTCTGATCTGGACGAGCGGAGACTGCCTGACAGCTAGCCCAATTCTGGCAGACGTAGCCGATTCGGTTCTAATAGAGATGAGTAGGCGTATCGGGGTGGACAAGTCTCCCTTCAAAAACAGAAAACTGTTTCCGCCCGGGCTCGAACCGGGGACCTTCCGCGTGTGAAGCGGACGTGACAACCACTACACTACGGAAACGTTAGGAGCCGCGGCAGGACAGTGGCCGGACGGTTGCTTAAAAATATTAGATGGCCAGTTGGCTTCCCACCGGGTCCCATCAATTCCATCCCTTCCTGTTTGGGACCTAACTCGCCGAGATCTGGCCTGCATCTGGGACCCCAATTCCGCGGATCTAGTCTGGCCTATCCTGATCAGACCCATGCCTGCACGTCCGATCATCCAGCATGTCTGGGTGGTCTGACCTGACCCTGACCTTGACCCAGCCAGAGCCGAATCTGATCGCCGCTGACCCGTGCCTGATCCGTGGTCTCGGGTGAGCGTCAACACGCGAGAGGTCAGCAAGGTCAGCGAAAGTGACAAGGTGTGGCTACCGGTCGCCCGTGCCCTGCAGGGCCGATCTCGCCACCCACCCCCACCCCCACCCTCGCTGACCCCGCGCCGCCCGCCAGGTGGTGTACGAGCTGCTGGACGAGATGCTGGATAACGGCTTCCCTCTGGCCACCGAGTCCAACATCCTGCAGGAGCTGATCCGGCCGCCTAACGTGCTGCGTACCATCGCCAACACGGTGACGGGCCGCTCCAACGTGTCGGCCGTGCTGCCGTCCGGCCAGCTCTCCAACGTGCCCTGGCGCCGCTCCGCCGTCAAGTACACCAACAACGAGGCCTACTTCGACGTGGTCGAGGAGGTGCGTCTAGTGCCACGTCCGCCCACTGCCGCTGACTTGAGGGCGTGACGCGCCCTCCTCAGGCTCGGGTGGGCAGGTCAAAACCGCCGCGGCCGTGCACGTGCCTAGGCGTGGATGGCGACCCTCGCCGGTTCAGTGGCTCTGTGCGGGCTGTTTGTCCGTACCGATTCATTGTCGGCTGTGTGGAGCGATCTGAGTGCGTAGCCTTGCAGGACGTCTCTCAGTCGTGACCGTACAGAGCGTCTATCTGTCGTCTTCAGGACGTCCTGTCATGACCTTACATGGCGTCTCTCTGCAGTTTTGCGTTACGTGGCCACCCCGTCGTACAGCCATCACACGACAAGAGCAGAGGTTCATAGAAATCATGAGGCTTAGAAAACTGGCCTTTGCTGCCTTTTTTAGAATGTTACGATACTTTGTGTGAGGGAGTGTGGTGGGTCTGAAGCCCAGCATGTGACACCAAGGCGGACGTGGCGGTGAGTGACGAGTCCTCCCAAAGAGACACGAGGCTCCACATACACCATGTCTATGGACAGGTGGACGCGATCGTGGACAGGTCGGGCAGCACAGTGTTCGCCGAGATCCAGGGCCACATCGACTGCAGCGTCAAGCTGAGTGGCATGCCCGACCTCACCATGACCTTCATCAACCCGCGCCTCTTCGACGACCTCAGCTTCCACCCGTGTGTGCGCTTCAAGCGCTGGGAGGCCGAGCGGCTGCTCTCCTTCATACCACCAGGTACTGCCGACGGGACGCCGCTGCCCAGATCACGGCTCCGGCCTGCGCGACACGGCCATCGGGTGGGGCTGCTGGGGGTGCAGCTGCTGTGGGTGGAGCTGCTGTGAGTAGAGCTTCTGTGAGTGGAGCTGCTGTGGGTGGAGCTGCTGTGGGTGGATCTGCTCTGGGTAGAGCTGCTGTGGATAGAGCTGTTGTGGGTAGAGCTGTTGTGGGAGAGCCGCTGTGGGTGGAGCTGTTGTGGGATATCTGCTGTGGGTGGAGCTGCTGTGGATAAAACTGTTGTGGGTGGAGCTGCTGTGGATAAAGCTGTTGTGGGTGGAGCTGTTGTGGATGGAGCTGTTGTGGATGGAGCTGCTGTGGGTGGAGCTGCTGTGAGTGGAGCTACTGTGGGTGGAGCTGTTGTGGACAGAACTGTTGTGGGTGGGGCTGTTGTGGGTGGAGCTGCTGTGGGTAATAAGCCACCTGTGCTGCACTGTCGCGCATTTTGCCAAGCTTGCTCAAACGTGGAAAAGGACGTAAACATCCAGGTTGTCCTAGTCTGGTTCGGGTAGGAATCTCCGTTTAACGGAGGTAACTGGGAAGGGGCGAGACAATGTGTTCGGCTGGATCCTTGCACGTTCTGCTGAGACGCATTATCGAGACTCGCCACTCCTTCACTACACGCGGCTGCCCCGCATGACCCGTCCCCTGTCCGGCAGATGGCACGTTCCGGCTGATGTCGTACCACATCGGCACGCAGTCGGTGGTGGCCGTGCCGCTGTACGTGCGGCACACCATCTCGTTCAAGGCGCCCGGCTCCGGCGGCGGCCGGCTCGACCTCACCGTCGGCCCCAAGCAGACCATGGGGCGCACCGTCGAGAACGTCCTGCTGGAGATCAACATGCCCAAGGAGGTGAGCGGCTGGCGGGGATGGCCATCGTGCTTGTGATGACGACTATGTGTCTTCCCTGCAGTTGTACTAAGCTTCAGCAATGGCTGACACTCCGGCTTGGCACCGTTTGGTGAGCCTGGGCCGTCTGTCACCGCTTCGCCTGTGCGTGAGCGTGACGTGACGTAACGTGACGGAAGCGGGACGTGACGTGACGTGTGTGGAGCGTGCTGAGCCCTCTCGACTCTGCCTCTCCGCGCTGCCGTGACGTTGTAACAGCGGAGTCACGGCGGCACGACTCGCCTCCTCACCGATTCGACGGGCAGGTGCCGGACGGCGGGCCGGCTCCACAGATGACGTCATCAGGCCGCATGCCCGCCCCGCTCTGGACTGTGCGCCGACGCCTGGCGTGACATCAGCTGACCCCCCCCCCCCCCCCCCCCCCCCTGTTCACCGCTGCCGGACTGGCGGCGACACCGCCTGCGGGGCTGATCTCGGACCATTGACCCGTCCCGCAGGCGCTGAACCGCCTGCTGACGCCCTTTGTCGGGTCGCTTGACTCCCCGTCTGCCGGCGTCAGCCGACGCCCGTGTGCCACCGGCAGGTGCTGAATCGCCTGCTGACGCCCTTTGCCGGCGTTGTTTGACTCCCCGTCTGCCGGCGTCAGCTGACGCCCGTGTGCCGCCGGCAGGTGCTGAACTGCCTGCTGACGCCGTCGCAGGGCCGCTACACGTTTGACCCGGTGTCGCGGCTGCTGAGCTGGGAGGTGGGCCGCGTCGAGCAGGCCAAGCTGCCCAACCTGCGCGGCAACCTCAGCCTGCAGACGGGCGTCCCGCCGCCCGACGTCAACCCCGCCATCAACCTCAAGTGCGTGGCGCTGCCCGTCCCCCGACACCAACCCCGTCATCAACCTCCAGTGGGTGGCACTGTCTGTCCCCTGACGCCCACCCCATTATCAACCTTCAATGGGTGTTGGTGACCTTTTCTGACACCAATTTTTCCATTAACCTCAAGTGTGTAATAGTGTCCCTCCCCCCCCCCCCCCGCCTCTCAGGTTAGCTTCGTCATCGACCCCAAGTGGGTGTCGCTGTCTTCCGCATCGGACATTGTCCTGGAATCGGTGCAGTATCTGGATGGCGCCCTGTGCCGGAGCCATCCGCTAGCGCCGGTGTTCACGGTTGATGTCGATCGATGGCCTCCGCACGCGCGTGCGCGGATAAGTAGCCTAGTTTTGGCAGTTACATCTGAAGATGGGCCCGGACTGCAGCAGTTGACGTGCTGTGTTTGACATGGGCGGCCCACAGTTCATCCTTTAGGATATGTAGGAGGTCAATGTAAACTCACAATACCACAATTATGGCTCTCCGGCGGCCGTCACACGAACAATTTGACCTGCCTGGGCGGTTTGCCAAGCCTGAGGCGCTAGACGCTGGGCTTACCGCCGGCCGCTTCGCTGCTTATTGGCCGATCTTGAACAATGAGAGGAGCAACAGACAGGGATCCCCGAGTAGTCGATCCGTAGATTCGTTGTGCCGGCAGTGGGCAGGCTCGTCGCCGTTGACCCCGCGGGAAGCGGCGGCCGCTGTGCGACCCCGCAGTGTCGGCGTCAGCGGACAGTGGGCAGGCTCGTCGCCGTTGACCTCGCGGGGGCGGCGGCGGCTGCTGTGCGACCCCGCAGTGTCGTCGTCGGCGGGCAGTGGGCAGGCTCGTCGCCGTTGACCCCGCGGGAAGCGGCGGCCGCTGTGCGACCCCGCAGTGTCGGCGTCAGTGGGCACTGGGCAGGCTCGTCGCCGTTGACCCCGCGGGAAGCGGCGGCCGCTGTGCGACCCCGCCCTGTCGGCGTCAGCGGGCCCCGGTCAGCGTGACCGGCGGGCCGTCCGTCACCGCCCTGCCCTCCTGCCGCCAGGTTCACCATCAACCAGCTGGCCGTCTCCGGGGTCAAGGTCAACCGCCTCGACATGTACGGCGAGAAGTACAAGCCGTTCAAGGGCGTCAAGTACTTAACGCGCGCCGGCCGCTTCCAGGTGCGCACCTAGCCGCCGCGTGCCGACCGGGTCAGAGGTGGGCCGCTGACCCCGGCTGAGTCTCGCCGAGGGTGTCCTGGGCCGTCGCGGGGGTGTCGTCGCAGCGCAGCGCACAGGGTCGTCTGACGCCTCCCCGGGGTTGTGGGTCAAGATCCACGGGGCCTGTCTCGACGGCGGTGGAGGTGTGTTGTACCGCGGAGCGTGTCATTGTACCGCGGGGGGCATCCTTGCATCCCGGAGGGTGTCAATGCGTCCCGGATGGCGTCATTGTGTCCCGGAGGGCGTCACTGACCGTCGGCCTTGTGACGAGGACGGATAAAGCGCGGCTTCCGTGTCAGCGTGGTGACGGGTTCTCGCCGGCCTGCGCGGTGTTGGCCCGCGCCTTTGCCGGCTGGGGCGGCGCGGGTCCGCCTCCCGCTGCTGGCCGCCCCCACGCGACCCCGCCGACATCGGTGGCCAGCTGGCGTCCGCGCCGTGCGACCCGGTAACCTCGCGGAGCTGACACCAACAGCTCGGACGGCGCTGGGTGTCGTCACGTGATGGCCGGCTCAGGCCGCGTGCTGTGTGCGGTTCCGGTCACGTGACCCGCGCTGCGGTTTGTTGCCGTTTTACCTTCGCTCGCCCTGATGGTGTAACGCTTTCCGACTAGAGTCTCTGAAGCCTCCGATCAGTGGGGGCGTCACCTGCTGTCAGCTGCCGCTCGTGGCCTCGGCTGGGACGCCGAGGCCGATCCCAGGGCCTGGCAAGGGAGGCTTTGTCGACTGGCGGGCGGCCCGACGGCGGCCTCCCGGCTCCGTGGTGCTCCCCGCGCGCCCACCCTGTATTAATTTGTGGAGGAGATGGCAAGGCGAAGCTCGCCGCTAGGGCCGGCAGCCGGCGGCTGGCCGGTCCGGTGTTCCTATCCGGGCCCGACGCCGCCAGCACCGCCCAGCACCGCCCAACACCGCCTCTGCGCTGGGCGGGCGGCCCGGCGGCTGGCCGGTCCGGCGTTCCCAGCCGAGCCCGACGCCGCCAGCGCCGCCCAGCACCGCCCAACACTGCCTCCGCGCTGGCCAGGCGGCCCGGCGGCTGGCCGGTCCGGTGTTCCCAGCCGGGCCCGACGTCGCCAGCACCGCCCAGCACCGCCCAACACCGCCTCCGCGCTGACCGGGCGGCCCTGCGCCCCTACGGGGTGCGCCGTCTCTGACTGTGTTGGGACATGTACGAAAGAGTGTCTACTGGGAGAATATTGTGTATGGTAGCGATATCGTGCGCATATTTTTGTTATTTACTTGTGCCGAATAGCTCATCATTCCATGAAATACACGGGAATGGTCGATGACGTGTTTGGGATTAACGGCAGGCTGTGGAGCAGGATTGGACCATTTGACCACGCAGTCATGGTCCTCATGATCATGCAGTCAACTGGTCCTGACCGTAAGCTTCACAGCGTTACTCGCGTTTGTCTGTCCGCATCGCATCTCCGCATCGTCCGCTATTTGTGCATGCGGGGAGCACAGATGGTTGAACGTTTCTCAGTCGCATGAACGTCGAACAAAGAGTTCGTAAATACCCAGCTGTACGTGTGTTTTATTTGGACCCACGTCAAAGTACCCACCAAAAACAGTTCATCAGACAGCGAAAACACTTGAGCGCCCCCGGGGAGGAGAACACCAAGTACTGGTAATCTGCCAATCCGCAAGAGCGAGAGAGCACGCAAATATACATATATTTATTCTCCACAATTCTTCAGCGAGTAGGCTTTACACAGGACACGAAAACAAAACTGCGCACCGGAAGGTGACAAATAACGAGGGCAGTGAAACGGGGGTGGGGGATCTCCGGGAATGTGCATCAAACCACACACAGCAAGAACCAACGTCGTCCGCTTCCGGCCGGTACGGACACGGCTGAGTCCGACACATCAGCTACCATCGCTGCGGCGTCATCCGGCCATTCAGGACCAGCTACGTCGCGAGCCGCCGCGGGTCGGAGCACTCGGTACCGCGCCGAACGCCTAATCGACTGCCCCCCACTCCACGGGAGCTTCCACACGAACGGCGAGCAGCACCCCATGGTACCCCAAGCCTACGAAAGGTGCTGGGATCAAGTCTACTCACAAATGACTACAGGAACGATCACCTATCAGATGGCTTCCACTAACAGCAACTAGGTGTCCCCCTCGCGTGCGAGACACATTGCGAGCGCCTGCATCCTGCACAGAGCAGGACTGCCGGGCCGAGCTGCTCGACTCGGCGAGAGTGGGGGAGCCGCGCGGGCATCATTGGCAAGCCAGCAGTCATCTGCCCTGCGCCATCGCCTGCGGGCGCCGCCTGCTCGAGGTAAGCGGTCAGCCAACGACGACGTAGGCGCTGTCAGGGTGCCAATTAAAAACTACTTGGACTAGTCCAGCTCTTATTGCATTCCGTAGCATGCAACCTGCTAAATTGGCACGTTGTCTGTCCGCTCCTCTAGTAAAACGTGCCCTGCGCCGGGTCGACGGGGTGTGACAGAGGACGGCGAGGCCGCCCTTCAGCCAGCCGTCTCCGGGCCGCGTCACTCCCGCCGCACCCGCTGGGGGCCGGGTCACCCATGCCACGAGACGAGGTCTCTCGAGCAGGTCTCCTGTCGGTCTCAGCCTGGTCTACACTCCTACAGGACCAGCGATGGTCCTTCGGCTTCAGAAGCCCATCTTCAATCCACCCCTGCCGACGGCAATGGACCGCTCCGTTCTCCCCGCCGGCGACAGTGGACCGCTCCAGCCACCCCCGCCGGCGACAGTGGAACGCCCCAGCCACCCCCGCCGGCAATAGTGGACCGCTCCAGCCATCCCCCGCCGGCGACCTTGTGCGGCACCTCACTTGCCGTTCGACTGCGGCCCGCCGTTCTGCAGCTCCGCGTCGTGAGTCCCGTTCTGCTGCGCGACTCCGTTCTGCTGCGCCACACCGTTCTGCTGTGCGACTCCATTGGCCTGCTTGGCGGCGGTCTGCGGCGGGCGGCGCGTGGCCGCCTTCTCGTGGTCGCGCGCCACTTCCGCCTGCGCCGGCGTGTCGTCAGTGGTGTAGACGCCGTCCAGGAAGCACCAGGCCAGCTCGGCCACCAGCGAGCGGTCCGGTACACTGGCCGCCATGCCGTACAGTGCCACCTGCCGGACGCCGGAGGAAGCTGTCATGGCCGGAAGCGCGCGCCGGCCACCGATGCCTGCTCCCGTACCCACTCAGACCATTGCGGAGACAGGGGGATGAGATGGGGCCGGAAGCCTCGCGGTCCCCTGCCATGTCAGAACGAGGAGGGGAATATCACGGCGGCAACGCAGGCGCCTGCGGGGCCGGCAGATGGCCGTGGGGGATGAGAAGGGAGAGGGGCAGGACATCTAGACGGCTCTGGTGTTCCACACTATGAGAATGCTAGTGCACATAATATTAGCGCCACCGCACATACTAGGTCCGTCCGATGGGGGCTCACGGCTCGCGGAGGCGTCCACTAGCAGTAGCCGTTAACGATGACTTTCAGTTGAGTTTTCTACCACTGTTACGCAGCGTGAAAGGCGCCCAGACAAACCACAGAGAAAATGACACAATATTTGCTTCAACCATTCAAGGAATAGGTGCAGCTCGACGAGTGGAAGCAGCTGCGTGTAACCACGAGAGGGATAAAAACAAGTCATACAGCAAGATGGCCAGGTTTTTAGCGCTCTGAATACACCGCAGCCGACGTTTCCTGTATGAAGACACCCACCAACGGCAACGGTGTACGGCATCAACAGCTCTGCAATCGTACAAACACAGCAACTGGGACGGCGCCGCACCAGATAAGGCCGCATCACATCACGGGAGAGCCACATATCTACTGATATACCCGGACGGGGACTGGGATGCGGGCCACATCCGAACACAGACAAAGACGTGGCCAAATACGGCGTCCGATCCGCACAAGTGCCTGGAGCACGCGTCATTAACAACGTCATCAGGCCGTGAACCGTCCCGTTATTGGCGCTTGGCCAGCGCCGGTGGCGCCGCCAGCTGGCCGGCACCGGTACTGACGTGTCCGGAGCCGGTGTCCTCGGAGGGCGAGCGCAGGATCTCGGCCGTCAGCTCGCGCAGGTCGGCCACGATGCGCTCCTTGACGCCCGGCTGCGTCTGGCAGTAGGTGACCGCGATGTGGAAGCTGGGGGTGTGGCGCGGCCTCCAGTCAGCCTTCAGTGAGCCGGCACAACTCACAAGCGCATGAGCTCACCGAACTGGGCGGCGGCATCGGCATCAGCACCGGCATCGGCAACCAACTGATGACGCTGAGTCGTGAAAGCACTGAAGTGCACGTGTGGTGACTCATCAACAATGATGCGCCAAAATGACGCAGATGGCGACAGGTTTGCGATCGATAAAGCTTGGAGCTTACCCATGCGAGCCCCATCCCTGCCGCGCTTCAAAGTTAGCCTTCCATCCCCTGGTCAATCCTCCTCGGCTCTCCGCTGGCTTCGCAAGAACGTACACGGCGCCCAAGAGCTTACCAAAGGGGATCTGCGGGACCACGAGCTCACCAGGGCGGGTTCTGTAGGGCGTTGAAGTTCCAGCCGCGCTTGCCCATGGCGTCAGAGAGCCGGTAGATGTTGAATTGGTCCGAAGCGAAAGCCACCACACTCACGTCCGAAGAGCCCTGGATCCGCAGGCCCGGGATCTGGCGACATCTGTGGGCCGGATCGGACACTGGGTACTACTGTCGGCCGAGAGATGGCCGCTCACAGCACGAGGAGAGCCCCGGCGACGCGAAGGTTGGTTACAGAAGGAAGCCAGGGGTAGAAGGACGCTTACGTGAACAAGACATCGATTACAGCTGATATAAGGCCATCATGGTATCGAACGACCCCTGGAACGAATGAATTGCTATTTAATGTCCCCCACTTGGAGGTCCTCCACTTCTAGACCAGCTACACAGCGCACTCCACGGACGGATCCACCGCCTAGCGCCAAATAAGCACGGAAAGAGACGAGAGCGGTGAGAGGAGGAACGCAGAATAGGGGCCACGCGCGTCGGTGCGACAGCACAATACAATAGCTGTGTACCATGCGAGGGGTCAGCAGTCATGTTTCAGCGTGTGGTATAGGCCTGGTTGCGCCACGAAACCCCACCACAGCATCTCCTGAGTTCAGAACCCCTTCGAAACCATGTCGGCACTTAGCGACACGGGCCGCGCGCAGCGCCACCAGGACCCGCACCAGAATCGCCAGCCTTCGCTCTTCCGGGGACTACGCATCAGTCGGGGCTCCAGCCCGGGGCCTTTCATCGAGACACAGCGCGGTCGCCTCCCCATCCCTGCCCTAAATCACGTGCAATCGACTTGTGGGGCCAGCGATCGTCGCACTCCTATTGGTGCCCGGGCGCTGCCCACCCACGTGGCATACCCTCGCTCCCGCTCGATGCCGCACGGGATCCAGTCCCTGCTGCTCGAAACAGCGGTTGACCTACTCACTCTCGCTCGATGTAGCGGGTGGTCTCGATGATCTTCCTGGTGGACTCGACGTAGCCCTCGCGGCCGTAGAACATGAGTGCAGCCCAGCAGGCGGCGATCACCGCTGTAACACAGCACAGCACAGCGGACTGAGGGCCGGGGCGGGCAGCCGGCGCGCGCGCTGGCCGCCGGCCGTCGGTACACACCAGCAGACGCGCCACAGTGAGCACCACATCACTTATCATGAGGGCGGACCTCGGCGCCAGGTCATGCACCGAAACATCACGAACGCACGAGGTGCGGCCCCAGAGACAGCGACAGAAACGGGGACGGAGCGGAGCGGGGCGATGATAGGAGTTGGAGTCGGAGACGGAGACGGAAATCGAGTGAAGCGGGGCGAAGAACAGAGACGAAGACGGAGCGGGGCGAAGGACGGAGACGGTGGCGGAGAGGGAAATGGAGTGGAGCGGGGCAACGATAGGACACGGAGGCAGAGACGGAAACAGAGACGGAAAGACGGACGGAGACGGGGACGGAAACGCAGTGGAGCGGAGCGACGAACGGAGACGGAGACGGGGACGGAGACGGAGACAGAGACAGAGACAGAGACAGAGACAGAGACAGAGACAGAGACAGAGACAGAGACGGAGACGGAGACGGAGACGGAGACGGAGACGGAGACGGAGACGGAGACGGAGACGGAGACGGAGACGGAGACGGAGACGGAGACGGAGACGGAGACGGAGACGGAGACGGAGACGGAGACGGAGACGGAGACGGAGACAGAGACAGAGACGGAGACGGAGACGGAGACGGAGACGGAGACGGAGACGGAGACGGAGACGGAGACGGAGACGGAGACGGAGACGGAGACGGAGACGGAGACGGAGACGGAGTGGAGTGGAGCGGGGCGACGGACGAAGACCAAGACGGTGACGGAGACGGAGACGGAGACGGAGACGGAGACGGAGACGGAGACGGAGACGGAGTGGAGCGGGGTGACGATAGGACACGGAGGCAGAGACGGAAACGGAGGCGGGACGGAGCGGAGCGACGGACGGAGACGGAGACGGAAACGCAGTGGAGCGGAGCGACGGCGACCTCGTCAAATTCAGAACGGTCACTCTATCCTAAATTTCAATGCATAGTGTGCTATCATAAATTACCGTGTGAGTTATCTTCAGTCCCATTGCAGATAGAGGAGGAGGAAGTGCCGCCAATGATCTGGAGGAAGGGGTCAGGTGTGTGACCTACCTCCGGCCCGGCTGCCGGCCATGGAGGGGGAGGGGAGTGACCTACCTCCGGCCTGGCTGCCGGCCATGGAGGGGGAGGGGAGTGACCTACCTCCGGCCTGGCTGCCGGCCATGGCGGGGGGGGGAGGGAGTGACCTACCTCCGGCCCGGCTGCCGGCCATGGAGGGGCTGGCGTAGATGCCGCCCGGCCAGTCGGGCTGCACGAAGTACTGGAAGTGACGCAGCCGCTGACTGGCGTACAGAACCACCGACGAGCCCTTCGGCGCGAACCCGTACTGCCGGCACGGCCCCGCAGGGTCAGCAGATGGCGGCCGGGTGTGGGGCAGCCCGCGCCGGCGACTGCGCCGACACGGACCGGCCGCCTATGGGCAGCCCGCGCCGGCGACCGCGACGACACGGACCGGCCGCCTATGGGCAGCCCGCGCCGGCGACCGCGCCGACACGGACCGGCCGCCTGTGGGCAGCCCGCGCCGGCGACCGCGCCGACACGGACCGGCCGCCTGTGGGCAGCCCGCGCCGGCGACCGCGCCGACACGGACCGGCCGCCTGTGGGCAGCCCGCGCCGGCGACTGCGCCGATACTGACTGGACGGGTACGTCACGGTGTCGGCTCACTGGGTACGCTGGTCAGCGCGTGTCGTCAAATAGGCCCCGCCTCTACGGATTCAACCCCACACGTGCCGCCACAGTCCGTTTCGCACCGCTCGTGCCCGCCCGTCGCCGCGCTGACCCAGCGTGCCGCCGTCGGCCGGTGCTCGTCCCTGCCCGTCGCCGCGCTGACCCAGCGTGCCGCCGTCGGCCGGCGCTCGTCCCTGCCCGTCGCCGCGCTGACCCAGCGTGCCGCCGTCGGCCGGCGCTCGTCCCCGCCCGTCGCCGCGCTGACCCAGCGTGCCGCCGTCGGCCGGCGCTCGTCCCTGCCCGTCGCCGCGCTGACCCAGCGTGCCGCCGTCGGCCGGCGCTCGTCCCCGCCCGTCGCCGCGCTGACCCAGCGTGCCGCCGTCGGCCGGCGCTCGTCCCCACCCGTCGCCGCGCTGACCCAGCGTGCCGCCCTCGGTCGGTGCTCGTCCCCGCCCGTCGCCGCGCTGACCCAGCGTGCCGCCGTCGGCCGGCGCTCGTCTCCGCCCGTCGCCGCGCTGACCCAGCGTGCCGCCCTCGGTCGGTGCTCGTCCCGCCCCGGCCGGCCCGGCCGCTCACCTTATGCGTGTCGGCCGAGATGCTGGTGACGCCCGGCACGCGGAAGTCGAACGGCACCACCGGGTAGCCGGCCTCGGCCATGAACGGCACCAGGAAGCCGCCCAGGCACGAGTCCACGTGCACCGGGATGTTGTACCTGCGACGCGGCCACACGCGTGAGTGGTCGTCAGCAGACGGTCTGTGTCGGGGACGTCGCTGATTGGTGCAGACCACGCGGCCGTGAGCACCGAAACTGCGCGCTGTTCCGTGCGGGGGTCATCAGCGACAAAGGACGGGCAGAGGGCTGGCTTCAGTTTATGACCTCGCCGTCGCAGCACTCGCAGCACGCAGCTGTCGGGCGCCGCCGACAGCAGAGGTGCTGCCTCTGCAGGAGGCGCGTGGCGACAGCCGACGGGTGTGTGACTCAGGTCTCCAGGGTGCAAGGGGCGGCCGACTGGCGCTGGCAGAGACCAGCCGTCAGCGTATTTAGCTCTGGACGAGGGGGCGGTGCCGAGCACAACATGACGAAATATACCCGGCTTTGACCGTTGGAGCGGAAGACCCGCAAACCTACGGAAACACTGAATCATTGTTCGGTGATGAGTAGCAATGTCCCAATATAATGGGATGAAGCGTAGCACAGAACCACGCAATGTACGCCTGCCGGACTTGGGACTTTTGCCAGAACCAAGCTTATTTACCGGCCAAGGAAAAAAGCGTCCATGCGCACATAGCGACTGTAACGTTACTTGTTTATGCACCACAGCAAGGAAAAGGGAGAGAAAGGGGGAGAAAGCAGGCGATTCTCACCTGACTCCCAGCGCTGCCACGTCTTCAATAGGGTCGATAGTTCCCGTGCGGGAAGGCCGGCGCCGAGCACACCAACTGCCGGAGCGTTCATAATCTTAAGACACACTGTCCAAGTCCAACTCTGGGTTCAGCTACAGCCTGCTGGTCCGACGCCCAGTCGGGCAGTGGCAGGGTATTCCGCACAGCTGGCGCAAGGTTCTATTGGGTTTGGCCGAATGAGGTGCGCTACGAACACATCTGGAGAGGCTTGACATTGAAACAACTGTTCAGCCACCCTTAGGCGTTACCTCAGCCACCATCCGTTCCTTCATGAACAGCCTGTGCCGGCGAGTTCATCAGCATGGTATGGTCTCGGTACATTCGGCCTACACTACGGTCATAATGAGTTATCAGGCCGCGCGTACAGGCCGCGCGCGCAGAGGCTGGCGGCCGTAAATATAATAATTAAGTCACGTGCGGATATCATTGCGTCACGAGTGCCGCGTGTGATATCACGTGACGGCAATGAGTGTCGGCACGTCACAGTTGATATCACTATCGGTTCAAAACCGCACATGGCAGCCGTTCCTGGCGGAAAATCTTCGGCAGTCCGCCGGCCTCGAACCGGCGCTCTCCGCGCCGTGGCTGCGGGGCTCACCATGACTGTGTTGCGGCCGATGCGGCGCCGCATGGCCCGCACGTCCACGCGGCTCGTCTCCGGGTCCACCGGCACGTGGATCAGCTTCATGCGCAGCAGCTGCGCGCCTGCGGTGACGGCAGGCAGCGTCAGCGGGGCAGCGCGCCGGCACCGACGAACGCAGTGGAAGCAGCTGACAATGACGGCAATGACGCATGCGCCGTCCACACACGCAGCAGACCGCGTTACGGCGGAAGAAACAGGTCTTATCATCACTACCCACGCGCTGCCGATCATGACGCCGGTGGAAGCAGCCAACCTGAACAAGAACGGCTCTCAGACAGCGGCAGCATCATCAACACGGTCCAAGCATGCCGAAGTCCTGAACAGCAGCGGCTCTCAGACAGCGGCAGCAGCATCAACACGGTCCGAGCATGCAGAGGTCCTGAACAGCAGCGGCTCTCAGACAGCGGCGGTAGCATCAACACGGTCCATGCTGCCGTGGCATCGGCTGCATCGCAGCAGAGGTCCTGAACAGCAGCGGCTCTCAGACAGCGGCGGTAGCATCAACACGATCCATGCTGCCGTGGCACTGGCTGCATCGCAGCCGAAGTTCCAACAATCTGCTCTGTAAGAGGATGTTCCCTCCACGGCGCCCATTGCTAGACATGAGTAACCGGCATGGAGGACGGCCTCTGCACGCCGCTGACCCCCGCGCCGGCGTCTCGTGTGCACCGCTGGTCTGAGACGGGCGGCGGGCGGCGGGCGGCGGGGCGGCGGGGCGGCGCCAGCTCACCCTTGTCGAAGGCGGCATGCGCCGTGAACGGCACGAGCACCTCGGGCCGGCTGATGCCGCGCTCCTCCCGCGCCAGGTCACGGCACGTCTTCATCGCCATGATGATGCTCTCCGTGCCGCCCGAGGTCACCTGAGGTCAGGTCAGACGGGGCCGCTGTGAGGACAGCGGCGGGAAGACGCGGGAACAGCCAGGGGTCAGACGGGGGTCGGCCGGGTCAGCCGGGTCGCCGGGGGACGACCGGGGTCGACCGTGGTCGGCCGGGGTCACGGGGTCGGCCGGGGGTCGGCCGGGTGTCGGCCGGGGGTCGGCCGGGGGTTGGCCGGGGGTCGGCCGGGGGTCAGCCGGGGGTCGGCCGGAGGTCGGCCGGAGGTCGACCGGGGGATGACCGGAGGTCAGCCGGGGGTCGGCCGGGGGTCGGCCGAGGGTCGGCCAGGGGGTCACGCGCACACTCTCCTCGTCCGTCACCACTCACCGATGTCCGTTGCAGAGCAAAGCTATGATTCCGGGCGAGTCTCCCTTTCCCCCCCCCCCCCCCTCAGACGGTAGCTGAACTTGCCACTGGGGACATTGTCTGAGTCAGACAGAAAAGTATTGGAGACCCGCCCTGTGGTGTCTGGGAAATATTGGCCTCCGAAGCCGCCTAACACATAGTTGTATGTACGTGCAACGCATACGGGCTCGACACCGAGTGTACACGCACAGACACCAGCTGCACACAGCTTTTCAAGGCGAGACCCATTCTGATAGTTATGCATTTGGATCCGACGCGTGTGGGTACTTGACAACATTTCAGACCAGGAAGACCGACAAGAACTAGAGATCAATACATGTAACACGTGACGGTTGCCTAGGCCGTCCGGCACAAAAACGTCGATTCAAGGACAGAGCCGTTTTGACAGGGGCAGTGGGCGTATGGCTGCGCTGACCAGGGTCTGGCCCGTGGCCCCTGCCGCGTCACCAGTCAATACGCCGTTCAGGGTCCTCGCGTCGAGTCCCAAGCGTCTGACGTCGCTTGTGTGTGGAATAGGGCAATACGGCCGGAATGTTTGCGTGCAAATATTTGGCCAGATGTTTTGCAGGCATGCCTCCGTGTCAGAGTCCTCTCTACCCATGGCTTGACGTCATGACCTCGACTCCACGAGCGCAGTGCAGGGCGGTGGGTGGCGGCGGTCCGTTCATAGTTAACATAAACACACACAATCGCTCGCTCATTCAGACATCAAGGTAGTCAACGCCAACGAAGGCAAAAAGCACGCAGAGCACCGGCTCAGCAAGGCGTCGGCGGCGTTTCTGGTCTGGTCTTATGTCCCCTCCGCACCTGACGTACAGAGTCATGTGACCCTTTGTGGAGGAGGGAAGGGGGGGGGGGGGCACATCTAGCCACACCCCAGCACCGTGGGGGGCACGCTCGCTGATACCCAAGTTCGGTGAGGTGCACACCTACATACCCCAGCCCCGCGGGGTGCGGACCACCACACCCCAGCCTGGTGGGGTGCAGACCAGCCCCCAGGCCGTGGAGTGGCGAGCGGCTGGCGCGCGCCGATAGCGGTATCGCTCCGCCCTGTCCGCCACAGGCCAACTGTACGCGCGAGCTCACCACGGAGGTCCAGAGTCCGCCACTGCCACTCTCCCAGCGTAGCGTCCTAGCACGGCTTGTGCAAACGCCGGCAGCCTGAGGACGCTCGTAAGTCTCAAGTACGCAACGCTAGACGCCGTGTGGGGCGTAAAGCCTGCCCGAGATTGCCCTGATACCAGCAGCGAGCCTTCTGGGCCTCGAAGCTCCCGGTCAGATCCTACAGGACGGCGGCGCGGCTGGCCCGCCGGGTCAGAGCGTAGAGCCAGCCGCGTCCACAGGTTATGACCAGTCTATTCACCAGGATGGCTGGCAGTATGCCAAGACGCCCAGCAGAGGCGTTCTGTCTGGGAGAGCACGCCAGCGGAGGCACCGCCATTAAATGCTCGGTTAAGCTGTGTATAGCTGAGACATGGGGAGACGAGGAGCTAAACGCCGAGTGCTCGGTTGAGCTGTATATCACTGATACGTGGGAGACGAAGAGCTAAACGCCGAGTGTTCGGTTGAGCTACGTATAGCTGAGACATGGGGAGACGAGGAGTTAAACGCCGAGAGCTTCGCTGAGCTGTATATAACTGATACATGGGAGACGAAGAGTTAAACGCCGAGTGCTCCGTTGAGCTGTGTATTACTGAGGCATGGGGAGCCCAGGAGCTAAACGCCGAGTGCTCCGTTGAGCTGTGTATTACTGAGGCATGGGGAGCCCAGGAGCTTAACACTGAGTGCTCCGTTGAGCTATGTATTACTGAGGCATGGGGAGTCCAGGAGCTTAACACTGAGTGCTCCGTTGAGCTGCGTATTACTGAGGCATGGGGAGCCCAGGAGCTTAACACTGAGTGCTCCGTTGAGCTGTGTATTACTGAGGCATGGGGAGCCCAGGAGCTTGACACTGAGTGCTTCGTTGAGCTGTGTATTACTGAGCCATGGGGAGCCCAGGAGCTTAACACCGAGTGCTCCGTTGAGCTGTGCATAACTAAGGAGCCGTGGAGGTAGTCACCACCGTGCCGTCCGTGATGCCCACACGCAGCCGGAGACAGCGGCTGGTAATGGCCACAGCGGAGACCGATAGTAGCAACGAGTAAAACGCGTCGGAGCTCCCAGGTGAGGACCGTGTGCCGATATGCTATGCAACCAGGTGCAGCGCTGCTGCTGCGGCCAGAGCGATGCGGTGGTGGCGTTCTGACGATAACGTCGTTGGTGTTCTGACGATAATGCCGGTAACGTTATGACGACAATGGCGTTGGTGTTCTGGCGACAATGCCGGTAACGTTATGACGATTATGTCGGTGGTGTTCTGGCGATAATGTCGGTGGTGTTCTGACGACGGTGTCAGTGGTTTTTTGGCGATTATGTCCGTGGCGTTCTGTCGGTGGTGTTCTGACAACAATAACACGGGTGACGACGACTATGAAGTGGGAGCCCAAAGCCACGACGGGGCAGCAACAGGACTTCAGTGCCCCGGGCAGACAGGCGAAGGACAGGCCGACCCGCGGGCTCCCGGAGACCAGCCCGGACCACACAAGACCAGACCAAGCCAGACCCGACGGGGCGAGGACGTACCGAGCCGCAGGAGTCGGGTCCGCCGTGGAACAGGCCGCAACACATCCGCACCACCTCCGCCTCCATCTTCCGGACCCCTGAAAAGGCAGCGGGCACCGGTGACCAGGCGCTCCGAGCGCCGCTTGTCAGCAGCCGGGGGAGGGGGGGGGGGGGGGGGGGGCGGGGGTCGCCGCTGGGGCTTTACGACGCGAGTACCGAGTATCGAGACGATCAGGTTTCCATCAGCGCGCAGACAACTGCAAGCACACCCGGAGCCAACTCGGGGCGCAGACTCGTGACTGGCAGGCGTCCAAACAGGCAACACATTATCACAGCTCTCCCGAAGAGTTTGCCTCAACCACAGCCTGCAAGGCATGCCTCGCGAGAGCTGAGGGCCACTGACCGGGGAACAGGTCCCGTGCTGAGGGTTGGACCGGACCCCAGGTCACCGACCGCGCCCCGAGTGACCTGGTGACCACTGACCGGGGAACAGGTCCCGTGCTGAGGGTTGGACCGGACCCCAGGTCACCGACCGCGTCCCGAGTGACCTGGTGACCACTGACCGGGGAACACGTCCGGATGCAGCGGGTCGGACCGGACCCCAGGTCACCGACCGCGACCCGAGTGACCTGGTGACCACTGACCGGGGAACACGTCCGGGTGCAGTGGGTTGGACCAGGCGGCCAGGCCGTACACCTGGGTCATCAGCTTGGTCAGCTGCTCCTCGCCGTTGTAGACGGTGCCCGACAGTCGGCCCTCGCCGTACGAGTACTTGCCTGTGAGCGGGGGCACGGCTGGGGTCAGCGAGGTCAGGGCGCGGCGGCGGCCGACACCGGCCGGTGACTCCCCGCGCCGCGCGTGGGCGCCAAGGTCGCCGTGCGCCATAACACTGCGTGATAGGGTCGGTCACTGAGATAGGGTCGGTCGCACCAGACGTACCGACCAAACACAGCATCATCGCGTCATCAAACAAGATCTCACGGAACGCCCGCGCCGCGAGCTAACAGCAGCAGCGCGCGCAGTCGAACTGCGCGACGCCAACTGCGCGCCGCGCCCTACTGGGAATCAGGCCGACGCCCACGGCGCGAGCAACAGCACCCGCGCGCACAGCCGAACTGCGCAACGGCAGCTGTGCGCCGCGGCCTGCCGGGAATCAGACCGACACGCGCGGTGGAGAAGTACGCAGCTGCACTGCCGTCAGAGTCGACGCGGCCTCATCATCAGCCGCTCCGCTGGCACGCTCGCCAGCACACGGCAGGGGAAGGCGGCACCAGCGTCATGTTCCGACGTATGTGTTATCGTCACGCAGGTCCCTGTCGCAGCAAGTCAATGCTAGTTGGGGACGGGCGTGTCCGGCACGGCGGCAGCGACAGCGGCCGGCTGTGCGGCGCCCTACCGAGCTCGCAGTACTTCTTGGCCTGGCGCAGAATGTGTTCGGCGTCGCTGCCGGTGGCCGGCAGCTGGCGGATGTATGGGATGCCCTCGTTCATGCGGGTCATGTCGGCGCTGATCTCGGACTGCATGCGCAGCGTCTGCCGCCGCACAGGGCACCTCCGTCACAGAAGAACACCGACACGGGCACCTCCGCGACAGGAGAACACCGACACGGGCACCTCCACCACAGGAGAACACTGGCACGGATACCTCGGCCACAGAAAAGCACCGACACGGGCACCTCGACCACAGGAGAACACCGACACGGGCACCTCGACCACAGGAGAGCATTGACACGGGCACCTCCGCTACAGGAGAACACCGACACGGGCACCTCGGCCACAGGAGAGCACCGGCACGGGCACCTCCGCCACAGGAGAACACCGACACGGGCACCTCGGCCACAGGAGAGCACCGGCACGGGCACCTCCGCAACAGGAGAACACCGACACGGGCACCTCCACCACAGGAGAACACTGGCACGGATACCTCGGCCACAGAAAAGCACCGACACGGGCACCTCCGCCACAGGAGAACACCGACACGGGCACCTCCGCTACAGGAGAACACCGGCACGGGCACCTCCGCTACAGGAGAACACCGGCACGGGCACCTCCGCCACAGGAGAACACTGGCACGGATACCTCGGCCACAGAAAAGTACCGACACGGGCACCTCCGCCACAGAACACCGACACGGACACCTCCGCCCCAGGAGAACACCGACACGGACACCTCCGCTACAGGAGAGCACCGACACGGGCACCTCGACCACAGGAGAACACCGACACGGGCACCTCGACCACAGGAGAGCATTGACAAGGGCACCTCCGCCACGCGATGAGCACCGCGCGGACGCCTGGACGATCATCCAGGCGCAGAATGGGCGTCTCCGTGTAAAAAGACGTAGAACCCATGCATAGAACCAGTAGAGCCATTACGACTACAGAAGCAGCTGTACTTAATCGCTAGAATACGCGAACCCACACCAGAACAGCAATGCGGAATACATGTCGCCCGCTACGAATGAATGTGATATGACACGTACCACACTGGGCTGATGGGCTGTCCGCCCTATCACTACAACAGATTGTTCCACCATCAACAGAACAGATTGTTCCACCATCCCGAACCCAGCAGCGACGCCGTATCAGTCCGCCGGGTCCTCACCGCCGCCCAGAGCCGGCCGGCCGGGGGCCTGCACCAGGCCGGGCGGGGGCCTGCACCAGGCCGGCGGGGGACTGCACCAGGCCGGGCGGGGAACTGCACCCGGCCGGGCGGGGGACTGCCCCCAGCCGGCCGAGGGATTGCACCCGGCCGGCCGGAGGACTGCCTCCGGCCGGGCGGGGGACTGCACCAGGCCGGGCGGCGGACTGCACCAGGCCGACCGGGGGACTGCACCAGGCCGGCCGGTGACGGCCCCGATGCTGGCCTCACCTCCTGCTCGATCCGCCTCCGCACGGGGGGCAGCAGACGTACTAGCCGGAACACGCGCTTCATCAGCCGCTCCGACACGCCTGGAACGGGACAGCGTCAGGTCAGCTCAGGTTACCTCAGGACATGCCAGGTCACCTCAGGACACTAACGTTGGGAGGTAACCACGGCACGAACTGCCCTGTGCAACTTACGTTAACCTTACCCTGACCTAATGAGCCCGTCCAGTGGTTATGCAATCGATGAGAGAGCCTGACTGGCCAGTTTTTGAGGAAGCACATAGGAGCATCGTGGCAACGCAGCGAACCGAGGGTGGACTGGTCGTACCACCTCACAAAACGGCCCCACAAAAACAGCTGATAACATTCCGGTAATAAGTGGTGCCACGGCCACGGCTCAGTCCGGCTCGAACAACAGTACATATTGACTCAGTGTGTGGGATAACGAACGAAAAACACGACTCATGCGCCGCTGCAGTGCTGCCCAACACAACGACCTAATGCACCCCTCATCAATGAAAGACGTCACATTAATCCATTATCAATGAACAAACTACCGATGTCAGCACCATGCTATCGCATCACCACGCCAGAGACTCCTTCAATGTCACCAGTCCCTCCCACGTCTCTGTCCCACTGGCGTCCGGCCCAGCCGGGCCCTGTGACCCCGACCCATGACGTCACGGGTCACTGACCGTCCTCGTGGTGCAGCTGGCCCCAGAGCCAGGCGAGTGTGAGCGTGGCCCCGGCTGTGCCGGCCACCACCTTCCACGGCTCGCGGTCGGCCAGCAGCTCGTTGACCTGCGTCCGCACCAGGTCACACGAAGCGCGCACCGTCTCCATGGCGAGCAGTGCCGGTCTGAAGTGGAGACGGACAGGTCAGCAGCGGCCTGAGGTGAAGACGGACAGGTCAGCAGCGGTCTGAGGTGGAGACGGACAGGTCAGCAGCGGTCTGAGGTGGAGACGGACAGTCAGCAGCGGTCTGAGGTGGAGACGGACAGCTCAGCAGCGGCCTGAGGTGGAGACGGACAGGTCAGCAGCCGTCTGAGGTGGAGACGGACAGCTCAGCAGCGGCCTGAGGTGGAGACGGACAGGTCAGCAGCGGTCTGAGGTGGAGACGGACAGGTCAGCAGCGGTCTAAGGTGGAGACGGACAGGTCAGCAGCGGCCTGGGGTGAAGACGGACAGGTTAGCAGCGGTCTGAGGTAGAGACGGACAGGTCAGCACCGGTCTGAGGTGGAGACGGACAGGTCAGCAGGCGGTCTGAGGTGGAGACGGACAGGTCAGCAGCGGTCTGAGGTGGAGACGGACAGCTCAGCAGCGGTCTGAAGTGGAGACGGACAGGTCAGCAGCGGTCTGAGGTGGAGACGGACAGGTCAGCAGCGGTCTGAGGTGGAGACGGACATATCAGCAGCGGTCGCAGGAGGTCGGGTCAGGTGCCGCCGCCTCGGGTCACGGTCGTTTCAAACGGGGCACGGTTTGGCTGGGCGGAGAGGGGGTGGCGTTGCGTAATGCGGGTTCATTTAGTTTTTGGCAAACCGCGCAGACGTTCTCCTGACGAGTTGCAGACTTTTCTGCAGATATGCAGAGAGGAGAAAACAAATAAGTTAACACCATAAAGACAATAGAGACGGGAGCTAACGGCAGGCACCCCCACAACACCACCGCCGTGCTGGGGCGCACCAGCGCTACACATCTGGCCTCAACAGACGCCTGTCCAGGAGAGAACGGACAGAAACCGTCCACTTAGCACCACCAGCACGTCTCAACGACCTCAACGAGCCGAGCCACAGTCGCCCACAAAAACCCCGGCCCCGCCAGAGAGCTCATCGGGGTCAATTCCAGCCCGATGGCGCGCCAAGCGGCGTCAGCAGCGCGCGCCGAGCGCGTTTTTACATTCGAAATCGACACGTGATTGGTTGAGCCTGGGCCCCCCACAGCTGTGCGGGCAGGAACACCTGAGAAACCGGGCGGTGCTGGGATTCACGGCCTCGGCGCCTGCCATACCTATGACGTCATGCCGGGAGGATACGGCCCTCGTGCCGACCTGGGCAACATGCGGCGGCAAGCAGCGTTAGGTGAATCAGCGCTTCCGCCACAGACGAGGTCTTTGTCTGGTTGCGGTCAAATCCTTACAGTCAGACACTTTGCTCTCGCCGTGGTTTCGGTTCCGCCCCAGTTTGCTGAAGCGTTAACTTGCGACAGTAAAGAACTTCAACAAACGGCTTTATATGGACAAAATGGACAAAAAATAACTGTGAAACGACGCGCACGAAAAGAGCAAACACGAGGGTTTATTGATCCACGCCTTAAAGTTCGTGTAAAGTAGCGCGATTGTCGTTTCTGAAAAGGAGCCCTGATGGCCATTGAGTACTTACAGGCCAGAACAAACGGACACGGCGTGCTTGCAGCGCAAGCCTGGCACGGTCGTGCTGTTGATTTGTCGCCAGTGTTTGAAGCTTTACTCTTTCAGAAGCGATTGAGCGTCGGCGGGCGTTCCCCGGCCGACAGCGGGGCTGGAATTCCTGGCCGCGTCAAGCTTCCGTTTACGTCACTGCACTGGCATGCCCGGCTGTTCATTGAAACTTGGTTGCTAAACTAAAGCCTTTAAGCCTGACTGAGGTCACGGTTGTGAATACCTATTCGTACATTACGAGCTGACCATACGAGTACCACGGGTCACGCCAGAGTTCACGCCTCACGCAGCCATGAAGTGTCAGCGGAGAGTTCGTGTGAAGCGTTTGGAGCACAGCTGTTCACCAAATAAATGAAGTGAACAAGAAGTAAGCATTTGCAGCACTCCAATCCCAAACCGCCGACTCTGCTGCTGTTTGCCCACCCGCGACATTGCCAGTCACCAGGCCACTGATCTGATGCAACGGGGAACAAAGGCCAGGACGCGTGCTGCCGAGGCAGATATCAGACGGCCGCACGGCGCCAGGTGCCGCCGGCTGCCCTGACCCAGGCGTCACCGGCGCCGGCTGGCCGCCTAGCCGCTCACCTCTCTCCGTCGGATCGTTTCTCCGCCGGCCAGTGCTGGCCCGCGGCAAGCGTGTGGTCGCGCCTGGCGCGCCGTCTCGACTAGCGCACCTCGGCGCAGCCGGGCGGCGCGGACACTATCGACACCGGCCGGCCTCCGCACAGGGCTGAGGTCGACCGGGACGGGCGCACGCAGCGCCGCCCGACGCCGGCGGCCGGGGAGAGACGGCCCGCAGACGACAGACGGGAGACGGCCCGCACACGGGAGACGAGAGACGGAAGACGACAGACGGGAGACGGGGGGGGGGGGGGTGGGAGACGGGAGACGGGAGACGGGAGACGGCGTGCAGACCGCAGCCGACCCAGGGACGGGAGACGGCGTGCAGACCGCAGACGGCCCAGAGACGGGAGACGGCCTGCAGACCACAGCCGGCCCAGAGACGGGAGACGGCCTGCAGACCACAGCCGGCCCAGAGACGGGAGACGGCCTGCAGACCGCAGCCGGCCCGGAGACGGGAGACGGCCTGCAGACCAAAGCCGGCCCAGAGACGGGAGACGGCTTGCAGACCACAGCCGGCCCAGAGACGGGAGACGGCCTGCAGGCCGCAGCCGGCCCAGAGACGGGAGACGGCCTGCAGACCGCAGCCGACCCAGAGACGGGAGACATCCGGGGACAACGGCAGGCGGGCCCGACGTCCTGGCCCCAGTTAAGAGAGGTCAAAACGGGTCAACACTCTAACGACTGGCGCACTGTGGCCGGCTCATTTTCTCCCGATCTGAGGCTGCGGGCAGGCCAAACGAGGATAAACACGACGGCCGCGGGTACCAGATCCCCCGCCTCCACACTCTCGCCCGAGCCGAATCTGGCACCCACCCGGCACACCGGTGGCCAGATTCGCATGCTAACACCAGTCAGCCACCCTTTTCCCGGTATGATTACCCTGCCTCGTCGTCCAGTCTTCTGAGCGGGAGCATACCGCCGCCGAGGCCTTCCGGCCGGGCTGGCTGGTAATCCCTCTCGCGTGGTGGGGCACGCTGCCACGCAATCTCCGTTTGAGATAAGCCTGGAAGTCGGAAATAACCCGACCTGGCTATAGCCACGCCTCACTTTGAAGCGGTAGCCTTAATCCCATCGCGCAACAATGGCTAGTCATGACCGAAAGAAGAACGTGAAAACACGGCCAAAAACGCACCAAAACACGGCCAGGACAGGCCGGGGCACATCGGCCAGTTACCGATGCCAATGCAATATCGGCCAGTGCAACAGACAGCCGGGCCGCCGCCCCGAACACCGAGCTTAGCGCGGCTCGCCAACCCACTCCGACGGCCCCTGAACGGGCAGCGGCTGGCGCGGCCTTGCTCGGCGCCGGCCCGGCCCCGCCCCTCGCCAGGCCTCTCTCCGCCGCCGCGGCTCCGGCGTCTGGTGCCGTCAATAATCTGGCGGCGGCGGAAGCCTCGGCCGACCGCGGCGCCGCTCCCGATCGCTGTTATGTAACGGTGCAGATCGCAGCTCCGGGACACGCCCCCCCCCCCCCCCCCCCCCCCGATAACGCCTGCTCACGTCCGCTTCACATCAGACCACTGAGCGAATAACAGCAAAATGGGAGCAGCATCGCAAACACACGCTTTTTCCCCCAAGAACGCGATTTTGTAGCGCGCCTTGCCGGGGGCATGCCATGTCGAACTTCGTCAACGACATCCAATGACCAGTGGTCAATGTGAATGATAACATTAGTGTAGGATATAGAAGGTTGGAGAACATGACCGCGCACAAAATAGAGATTGACACCACCTTAAGAAAATTGACGTACTTAACTGTTGAGAGCCTTGCCACTGCCGTGACCTTACAACCTTTTTGTCGTTTCCTGGTGGTTTCGGAGCACCATAGTGTGGGGTAATGTATGACACGGGTACCCTACTTCACAATCTCTTCAAGTTCACGCAGCTGGGTATACACGGGGGGGGGGGGGGCATGTGTCAGTATTCTAACTGGGCATAACGTCCCTTTAACGACCTTTTAATCACAGCACCCTTTGGGTTTTGAACTGAAATAGTCGTCTGGAACACCATTCAGTGCAGTTCAAAGCCCTACCCTTCTAAAGACCTCAGCTACTCTAATTTCTGTGCCGCACGCCGGTGAAGATGCACTTTTTCGGGGAGACAAGTTCAAGGTCACCCAGACATTCATGACGCCAAAATAAGTCAATTCAAACTCACGCCATTCCATTTGACACGCGGCAATCAAGGCCAAGAAAAATATAATTGTCGAGCCGTTCATATCTGGCGTTCGTGAACACACTTTCCAGGTATAACGGCCGTCAGTTGGCTGCCAATCAATGTCGTGGCAAGGTACGATGACGTAAGCAATGACGTATTGAGGAGCATTTTTACTAAACGGGGAAACTGTGTTGTCTTGAGCAGTCTATTCCATTTAAAAGCATACCAATAGTAATAAGCGAGCCTATTTCATCATATCTGATGCTTGCTTCAATATCTTTATAACGACCTTAACCACACCACGTTATTCAAACTGGTCCGTTCTTGAAATAGAGTCTAACACCATACACAGCGCCTGATGTTGTCTTGGCGCTGGCGCCAGCTGACGAATAGAAGAGTGACCTGACCTACCTCAATAATGGAAACCATGGCCAAGCCACCTGATGACCGACCGCCACAAAATAGCATCAACACGAATGAAATGCTGCACCGTCATCTGACATATCCCGCCTTTTCTATTCTCATCTAGCTTGCCATAGTCATGCGTCTATCCCCACCCTTAAGCGACGCGTCTCGTGAAAGTGTTCCGATCTGAGCGACCGACCTGTGACGTCACCAATGGGGTTACGTAACCAGCCGAGCCGCGTGAACGCAGTCTCGTTGCCACTCGCCGCCGGCGGTCTGCTGCCGCCCGCACCGGCCGCCAGCACACCACCGCCGGGCTGGCCACGACAGGCGGGACTGAGGCGTGCTTCAGCCGTCAGCAGGTCGCTGGGGCAGAGCGCCCAGCGCTCGGGCCCGGGCGTCACCAGCTGACGGAGGACGGCCCCGATCTAAGGGCAGCTTGCTGGCAGAACGCGCATCGCTCGGACCTGGGCGTCACCAGCTGATCGGGGATGGCCGCGATCTCACGGCAACTCGCTGGGGCAGAGCGTTCATCGGTCGGACCTCCCGCCATACTCACGTTGCGGGGCGGGGCAGTGCGCGGCACATTTTTGGAGACGCTTCTGAGCGTCTGGCAGAGCAGCTGACCGCAGCAGGCCGACTTGGTCCAGCTGGGCTGGCGACCACGGAGAACAGCGCCGCAGGGGTAAAGCGTTGGGAAGTGGGGACTTTCGCGTGCCTCGGCCGTGGGCCACATGGCTGAGCGGTACTGGAGCCAGGTCGGCGTAGGTCGTTCACCTCACGGCGGTGGACGCTGCAGTCTCGAACGGCGCTCGTACCACCTCCCAAGCCGCGAATGTGAGACTGCCGACGCGGAGCTCAGCCCAAACAAGGGCCTCTCCGACATCAGGCCGTGCTACCCGGCCAATATCGGAATTCGGGTGCGCATTTCTTCACCTGTACTTCAACTGTAGTATGCACTTCTTCACCTGTACAGCACGTGACATGCACTTGATAGAATGGCCTACATTCGAATGGTTGGGCCTAAGTTTGCGTTCCGGGGAATTTGACACCCAAACACAGCATCCTGTATTGCACCATGCCGATAAACCAATGAACCTTCAAAACGGCTCATCGACGTGACATTGGCTAGCGGCTGCTTTCAAACTGCTTAGCTGACCGTATTAAACAACAACAGCAGACAGCTCAGCCATAACACCCTCGGAGCCGAGGAATATGGCGACTGAGGGGCAAGCCTACACGCCGCCGCTCACACACGACGAAGAGCACCGTCGCAAAAACTCTCAAACGTCCGGCAACAGAGTTCACTCGACCTTGTAACGCGAAACCCCAAACAAAGCGCATCGAGCCTCTTTGTTCCGCAATGTCCGGGTGCCACGAGGGCCGCGCAGCACAGGAGGGCCGGCCCAGCGAGGGGTTGGTGGCAGAGCAGCGCTGACTCAGCAGGTGGCAGAGCAGCGCCGCCGGCCAGCGCTTTTGTTTGTTCTCCATTGGGCGTTTCGTCCGGGTACGAAGCGCTTGGCTAGGTCTGGTGGAGATCGGTAAGCATCGGCTAACTCCATAGTTCCAAAGGCAGGGCGTGCACTTTATCGTTATCCAAAACGTGACGGCTCGGAGCCATACGCGACAAAACGCTCATCCGTCCATTCTTGCCGTATGGATCCGCGACCTCTGCGCCCCAAATGGAGCGCCGCCAGCGGCAGCCCTGCTGATGACCCGAGGCGTGCTCCTGGGCGCGGAGTGGGACCGCCTCGCAGCAACGCGACACTGGCGGCCTGGTCCGGCCCGAGCCCGCTGCTGAGCGCGGAGTGGGCCCGCCTCGCAGCAGCGTGACACCGGCCGCCTGGTCCAGCCCAAGCCCGCTGCTGAGCGTGGAGTGGGCCCGCCTCGCAGAAGCGTGACACCGGCCGCCTGGTCCAGCTCGAGCCTACTGCTGAGCGTGGAGCGGGCCCGCCTCGCAGCAGCGTGATACCGGCCGTCTGGTCCAGCTCGAGCCTACTGCTGAGCGTGGAGTGGGCCCGCCTCCCAGCAGCGTGACACTGGCCGCCTGGTCCGGCCCGATCCCGTAGCCCAGGGCACTGGACAGGCAGTCCAGGACCACTGGGCAGGTGGCCTGGGGCCACTGGGCCGGCAGCCCAGGGCCACTGGGCCGGCAGCCCAGGGCCACTGGGCCAGCAGCGTTACCTGGGATGTTGATCCCCAGACATTCGCCCCACAACAGCTCTGTCATGGTCAGGTCAGAAGGACAACAACAATGACATCTGGAGTAATACACAATAATAAAGATATGGCTGAATTGGTGCATGCAGCCCAGTATGCAATCTTTTATCTCTATCGTTCTTAGGTAGCTCATAAGGTAATGTCCTGACATGCAACACAACACAGATGTGTCATAACATGACATCACATCACCCCAGACCAATGCCCCTATTTATACTCAACAGTGGCATGTCATGACATAGCAAATA